AGCATTGTTACATTAATCCCAAAATATAACAAGTTACTTTTATATCTTGAATAAAAAAAACTTTATCACTATAAATTTTGAATTAAAAAGAAACAATTTTTCATTAATTTTGGTTTTAAGAATAGTTTAAACCATGATTGAATTAATTTTGCCCCAGGAATGATTAATTTTGACAATAAATACTTTTTTTTACTAAACTTTAAAATTTGCTCTTAAAAATTTACTAAGACACTTGAGCTTAAATTGTAATAATTAAATTCGAACTACACTTCTTTTAAACTGAATATATAAGATTAATAAAATAAAAACATTATGCCGTTTTCTGACCCTTTAATTTTTTTTTTTTAAAAATATAAAAATTATTAATGAAAAATATTTTTTTTACTCACCAATAGCATCGATTCCTGATCCAGAGGAATCGAATCCAGAGGAATTGAATCCAGAGAAATTTAGGATTAACATGAGAAAAATGGCCAAAAATTTATTCATTATTTTTAAAATAAAAAAAATGATATTAAATAAAGGATGTTTATAGCTCAGTCTAGTTATATAATTTTTTTTAATGACGTATATTTCAAAGAAATTCTTTAATTTTTTCAAAAATTTTGTTTATACAATGTTATTGTTTGTTTAAAGTAGGTGAATAGGGGGAGGGGTGGGGGGGGGTATTCTTATTAAAAAGATTTTTTTAAAATATTATAAACATTTCCAATAATTTTTGCATATATTATTTATTTAGTAAAAAAAACATATTAATTCTTGCAAATTAAGCAATTTCATCATCCTTCACAATAATGCACATTGAGAAACTATTCGCCTTATATCTTAAAAACTGCTCAACAAAAATAAATGAAATATGAAATATATATTTGAGGCTATTGAAATATCTAGATCATAATAATTAACCGTTTTAATGTAATATCAAATTTAACCTGGCTGAAGTGTTATAGTCCCACTTGAGTATTGCAGGGTTTAAAATACAATAGAAAAATACAATGGATTTTATAAGAGATTTAATCAAGGGAATATTCAGATTATATTTCAAAAAATAAAGATTTATCTTTATTAAAGTGAGTCTGAGAGTTTAATAATGGATAAATAACGGCATAATAATTTTTATCCACAAATATAGCTAAAAATCTTTAGTCAGTATTAAATCAAAACTGGTGAATTTTAACAGTTGTGAATTCTCGAGGTTATAACTTTGGTCAGTAAAAAAAATATGAGAATTCTTTTAAAAGCAAAAATATAATCTAAATTTACTAAAATATACAACTATAAGAAAAACTTAAAAATTTAGCCCTTCCAAAATAATAATGAATTAGGGCACTAGGCAGTTAAAAGAAAGCACTAGTGTTTTGCAGAAAAAGTTATTTTGAAATATATTTGAGCATTGAGATCATATCACAAGCTATAACTCAATTATGTATAATATGAGGCATGTCAATTTTGTCGATTTAATAATAAAAGTAGAAATGTTACTATCATCATCTACTAGCTTATATTTGAGATTTTTCTGAATTATTGTGTAGAGAATGCCCTTAATTACAATTTCTAAACCTCTGTACCAATTTTTAAAAACACCAATTAACTAGTGTTGTTAAAAAACCCGATTAACATTTTAGCTAAAATAATATATTATGTAGGCATCGAAATTTGGTAAACAGATGTCCAAGTATTTCTGCTAGCTATGTGCAAAATCTTTAGGTTTACACAATGTTATTTTGGTTATAAACTTAATCTGGCCGTTTTTTAAAAATCTAATCGGGGTTTTTAAACACCACTACACGTAATAATAGAGTCACTAGGGGGAGGGGAGGCGTGCATGGGCTCGAGACCTCTAAAAAATTTGAATTTTTCATACCCAAAAAAGGGTCATTTTGAAAATGTTAGCTTTAAAAAAAAGGGTCATTTTGAAATAATTTTCAAAAAAATTTTTCTGAGTCTCTTGACATTATAAAATGACACTCCTGCCGGGTAATAAAAACTCCACCAAAATAATAGGGTTTTTTTTTAACCTACATCGGAAAACAAGAAAAAAATTAACACCAGTATAAAGAAAACATGCGATTAAATTTTTTTTAAAGGAATTATTTCTCTTATTCAAACCATTTCGACTTATTATGTCTGAAATGTTGATTGGACAATTTTAAACCTCATTGAAATATGTATGGTCCGTTAGTTGTCATTAAACATTTTAAATTGTAACATTTGAAATAATGTTATAAGATAAAAATTATTGATTGTAAATAGGGAGATACCGAATTAAATTTGTCTGGAATTGAAAAATTGATAATATTAGAGCAAAAAAATTTCCTACAAAGTAAGCGCTGTGCTATTGTATTTATTTAAAACCAGATTTAGAAATATTAATAAAACATGAACCCAAAAAGAAAACATCTCAAATTATGTTGATCATTAATGCATATAAATTCACGGATCAGATCGATTGCAAGCCAATTTCTAGCCCCATAATAAATATTTACTTAATTATATTAAACCAATACAAATGAAATTTTGAGCATTTTAAAAGTCCCATATGATATTATCAATAATAATAAAAAATTATTTGCAAACTTTGCACTGCCAAAACTCCATAGATGTAAAGGAAAACATTAAAATTCTTTAATTTTTTTTAGGGGGGGGGATCTAATTGGGATGGATTAGATATAAAAAACTAAAAACTTTCTCTAGGAATGGACGGGTGTTAAACAATGGATTTAATCTAGGGATTTTAATCATGAATGTAATATAAAAAATCCTTCTAAAAAGGAAAAAATAGTTAAAGAATGAAAAATAGATATAATAAATAGGGGGATGTAAAAAACAAAAAATAAATATAAAACAAAATGCTTACAAATAATTTTTAACGAAACGATGGCAACATCCTGGAAAAACAATCAAAATAATTATAAAAAAAATACAAACAGAATTGTCTATAGTAGATGATTGTGTTACCCGAGGGAACCGGGATTCATAGAAAATTAAGAAATAAGATGTTAATAATATTACATGCCGGTCATTAAGACATTGAAAGGATGAAACAAAGGGCCCGAAAATTTACATGATGGCCTGGTATGAAATTTTTTTTATATTCCTTGTAATACTTATGCCAACATGCCACATAAAGATGCAGGCGGTAGTTGGACAAAAAACAAGTCGACTGTGGAAACGTTATACACGTCGATTTTTTTTTGATTTAAACAAAGAATCATATTTCTTAGTAGTGGCCTCATATAAATGGATTGAATATGAGTGAAGAGTTCTATGGCTTGGCCATTAATATTGCAATCAAGAAATTACAAAATTTATGGGTAAAATTCGGGATTCCTGAAGTAAATGTCCATGATGATAGTCCAGCTTTCAGGAAATTTTTAACCAGTTGTGAGTCATTTATTGAATTTTTATAGGCTGATATTTTTTTTATAGTTACGCGAAAAATGTATCATTTTGTCCCATGTTCCTAAAGAAGGGGGGGGGCGTGTTGTAATATTATTTATAACTATACCTAAAACGAATTATTGGTTATTCGATTCGTATTTTATTAATACAAATAAAGGAAATATATTATTCGTCGAATAATTTTTATCCATTATTCTAAATTATTCGTTTTTCATATTATCAAAATTTATCGTATATAGCGACATTATTAGTAAATATTCAAAGTATTCGCAATTATTAAAACTTATTCATAAATATTAAAATTATTTTAAGTATTCATTAGGTTCCTTAAAGGAATATTTAATTTTTTTTAACTTTATTTCTGCAAATCACTTATTAAATTTTTAAAGAAGAAAGAATTTGGATCAAATTTTATCTAAAATTTGAAATATGTTTATTAAAAAAAAATCTTTTATTAGATAACCATATATAATTTTCATGCGGAACTTTCAAGATTTTTTTTAAATACATTTACGAATCGAATATTCGACCAATCAAATCGAATATGCGACCAATTAAATCGAATATTAATAATCAAATATGAGTAATGCAAATATGTGATTCGTATTTTTATAGATATAATTAAAATTATAACATTTACTTAATTTTGTTCATTATTTTTATGTTGTTTTTTGAGGTTAATATATGGAAAGAGAAGAAAATGAAAATAATTTTATATTTTCGCGAAAAAAAATCTTTAAAAAATTGTGTATTATTTTTGTTTCATTAATATCATTCGCGTTTTTGTTTTATATAAAAATTAGATATTTCGTTAAAAAGAATAAAAAGTTTTGTCTCAATAAAAATATAGAAAAAATTACATTGAGATAAACTTCTTTTACAACAATAATTTACATCGCCATAGTAGATTGTAAGGATAAACTTCTTTTATAATTACATTTACAACACATTATATGACTAACATTACGTGATTTAGCCCATTTACCAATCATTTATATTTTATAATTACTTAATTTTCATTTACTATATAATAATACCTATTTTAACCTGCTTCAAAGACGCTAAAAAATGTTCAAATCCTCTAAAATATCAGAAATCAAATCTTTTTAAAAAAATCATTACACACCCCCCTCCCCTCATCTTCTTCATAAGATAAAAATTGTATGCTTGGATTTTGGAACCTTGTTAATTTCATAAATAATCCCAAAATATACAACACAGGTTACTTTCATATCTTGAATTGTAAAAAAAACAAATTTATCACAATATTATTAATTTTTGAATTATAAAAAGAGAAACGATTGATTAAGAATATTATCATATTGACAACGTTTTCATTAATTTTGGGTTTTAAAATATTGACTGCTGAATGGTTTAGATCACGATTGAATTAATTTTGCCTCAGGAATAATTAATTGTGACAATAAACACTTGTTTTTTACTATTGAGCTCTAATTGTAATGATTCAATTCGAACTACACTTCTTTTAAACTGAATATAAAAGATTAATAAAATAAAAACATTATGACATTTTCCGACCCTTTAATTTTTTTTAAAAAAAATATGGAAATTAATAACGATAAATATATTTTACTCACCAACAGCATCGAATACAGAGAAATTTAGGATTACCAGGAGAAACATCGTCAAAAATTTATTCATTATTTTTAAAGTAAAAATAAATTATTTGTATTAAATATAGGATGTTTATAGCTCAGCCTTAGTTATATAATTTTTATTAACTCCTTTTAAATTTGTTTAGTGACAGTGTATTTCAGAAATTCTTAATTTTTTTTCAAAAAACAACCTTGTTTATACAGTTTTATTGTTTGTTTAAAGAATTGACGTTTTTGGCTCTAGCGATCTTTTTTAGTTAAGGAGATATTTTTAAATATTATAAACATTTCCAATAATTTTTGCATATATTATTTATTTAGTAAAAAAAACATATTAATTCTTACAAATTAAGCAATTTCATGGTCAAATACGTTCATGGCTCTACCATTGTATATCTTAAAAATTACACACAACCAAACTTCAATAAAATTCTGAATTTAATTAATCGTTATTAAGCAATTTCATGGTCAAATACGTTCATGGCTCTACCATTGTACATCTTAAAAATTACACACAACCAAACTTCAATAAAATTCTGAATTTGATTAATCGTTTCGGTCTTTCGGATAGGAGCATTTTTAGCGATCGTCCGAATTAATTGAAACCAGTGTCGCTCAACGGCTCTATTTTAAAAAACGACTAACTCAATACTCTAGCAAATATTGCCTAAACCTCGAGATTTCGTTAATAGATGTCCAATCCAAACCTTTGTGTGATCTATGACCAAAATCTTCAGGCTTGCGTAATATTTTCCTGGATAAAATATTGAGAGCCCGTTTAGCAACATTAATTTTAAAACAAATATTTGAAAATTCATAGATCGCTCAAACGCTCCAATTATAGGCCATCACCATAGTTTTGAAAAGATAACATTTGTGACAGTTAAGAATGATCTGTAAAATATAAACCATTTTATTGACTTAATTTAAATATATAAATATCATTATTATTATATATTATTAATGAACAAGGGTGAAGTCCTCGATACACTTAAGTTTATAAGTAATAGAGTTAAAAGTATAAAAAATATTAAATAATATACGCGTTTTTTTTTGATGTAATGTAATAGTTTTTAATAATAAATAACAATATTATTTTAAATATTTGAGGCATGTGTCAATCGTTGTATTGTACAATATATTCTGCCAAACTTGAAAGAAAATCTTTCATATATTTTTGTCGAAGTGTGTCCACTTTGTAAATCATATCCTTATAAAGACGCTAATAAAAATGTAGTGATTTATAAAGAAAAATATATTGAGTTAACATTAATAACGCTTTTAAAATTCCTATTCTTAGTAAGTCAATTTAAATTTTACTGATTCTGCCACAGGGATTTAGCATTTATAAATTGTTTTTACGTACTTCTGCCCCTTCGTAATTCAAGATCCCGATAGCGCTGACGTTGATCTTAAGCTTGCGAGATTTTATTATGCCATTATCCTGAGATACTTTGTTGGGATTACTACCTTCCTTTTTGGGAATCATAAACGTTGGCATGAGCCTTCTTTTTATGCCGAAAATGATGGGGATTTTGTTTAATCTACAGGTTTGGATCAACCCATTTATCAATTCGTTCAATCCACCTTAGAATAACAATTTAGGTAATTATTTATAATATTGTTATATTTGAACGAAGATCGAATATTAAAATTAATTTGTATTAATAAGGTACTACTGTATTAACGACAATGATTTCATTTCAAGATGCTAAACTTGATAGTATTATTAATATTATATATTAATTTCTTTGGTTTATTGTTAAATCCTGTCTACAGTTGTTCAACTTAATGAATAAATTAAGAGAAAATAGGGTAAAAGAAGATAATTGTTCAAATTAGCCAATTACCTTAGATTTATAAAGCTGGAAAATTGCTTTAAAAAAATAAATTTATTTAAAATTTATTTAAATTAGTGTTAAAATAATAATATTTAAAAAATTTAGTATAAATTCACATTCTATATGTGACATCTGTTATCTTTTGGCACTAATCTCCCATGCATATTTTTACCAAATATTAGTCGCTAGCCAAAATTAATAGAAGATAACCATGAATTCATAGTTAGCACGAATTTACGGCGAAGTATTGGCGCAGAATATAAAAATACCGAATATTTTGTATAATTCGCCCCGAAGTCGCGTCAACTGTGAATTCGGGGTAACCGAGAACTCCGAGATTTTCAACCAAAATGGCGTGTGACTAGCTGAATTGAATCGATACATTAAATCATAATATGTCATTGAGTGGATATATGACAACACAAAATTATGAAATACCTTTGCCTGGCACATTTTCTATATCAGGAGCTAGTATGACACATTTGATTTTATCCATTAGAATCCACTTATTGATTTCTTTCATCCCATACACCATTCTCTTCTTAGAACGAGTTTTCTAAAAAACGTAAATATTTAATATTAATCAAAAAAATTGGCAGTCTAATCATTATGCTATATAATAAAATTTAAATTCAAGAAATTGTTAGTGAATCGGAAAGAGTAGGAATGTTGTTTCGTACCTGAAAAAAACCCGATGCACAATGATATTAATGCTTACCTAGACTGATAATTCATTTATTAAATGTGCATATCTATTAAATTAGCTGAAGTCCATTTCATATGTTATAGAAGACGCCATTGAAAGCATTTTGTAGCCTTACACACCATTTCGTTATAATATTTTATTATTTCTCAATGGCTGACTTCAATGTATGTACACTTTTAATGAATGAATCGTGAATTTAGGTCCGTATGCATGTAGTTTCTCATATATATGTATATATATGATTGATACGTTTAAGGTAAGATTTTCGGCGATTTTGCGTGAATAAAAAGTAACGAGGGTTTGGACCAGTTTGCTAGTCTTTACTTCGAGATCTTTATCGTAATAATGATCGCAATACCTTTTTCAATATATATTGCGAAAATAGAAAAAAATATATAATAAATCCTATATGAAAGAGTGATGTAATGCATGTATAAAAAAGTTGGGCTAATATGCTAAATAATACATATAAACAGTTCTAAATCCACGAGTAAAGATAATCGAAAATGTTAATCGAGCAAGAATCAATAAACTGCATCGGGTGAGTTATTCCGAACTCCAAAATATTTTCAATATTGGGTGGGTGGTGGTCGGGTTAAACAAAATTTATAGATAAATGGGTGCGTGGGAGGGTTAAAAAAATTTTCAAACAACGAGTGGGCAGGCTTTTTAAAGAACAAGCGGATTGCACCTCGACCCATTTGTTAGATTTATTAAAAGCAAATTTATGGCAATCGTTATGCAACGTGATTTTGAGCTGGTCAATCATCAGCTTTAAAATCGGGTCGCATAGTACACACTTATCTTATAAATCCAGTCGAAGTGCGATGATATACCAAAGATTGATGCTTGCTAATTGGTTATTAAAAAGTGATAAATCTAAAACGATCTGAACAGGGTAATCAATAAAAATGATATAAAAATATCAATATCATTTTTACTCTCTGAATTTTGATTTATTTGCATGAATGGCGTTCACGACAATGTTGGCTTGACTAACGATGCGAGATTTTATTGAGAGAGAGTCTTTGTCCTCTTTAATAGGTTTTTCGTCACCTTCCACCCAGGATTTGCCGCTACGATAATAATCGAACAGCTGTTCATCGTACTCGGTCTCCAAGTGATCGAATAACTCTTTAATACGGTGCAGAGACGTGGTTTTGATTTCATTTGTTACCTCAATGCTGAGATCCCGATTATTGTCATTTATTCTTGCAAGATTATTGTTTTGCCCGTTAAGGTTATCATTATCATTCGTATTAATTATATTGTTTGAATCGAACTTTTTAATTGTATGCTCGCGCAGGATGGAGAGATTATCGAAAATGTAATTGACGACAAAATCTGACCGGCTTTTGGCAACTATTAGTGATTTGATAAATCTCTGTTTATCTAAGGGCGAGCAAAATGAATAATCATTATTATCGTTCAAATTTAGCCGTAACCCTTTAAAATGATTGGCATCCATATCATCTATATTGCCGGTCTTAGAATTCTTGTCATTATTAAGCCTCTTTGCTAAATTGATTTTATTCATTTCTTCGATTGAGACATCATCTTTATTCAATAATGGTAAGGTATTATTTTAAAAAATCAAATAAGCTTTGTATTAAAAAAAATAATTAAGAAAATGTTCTTGATTTATTTGAATTTGAAACGGCTCACATAAAAACTTTTAAAAAGGGGACAGTATATAAAAACCAAAAAATAGGTCCCTTATCTTAATTATTTATCTGCAAAAAGTAGCCTTTAGTCTTTCCAAACCAGGAGGGATGCCTATTAAGTCGATGAAAAGGGATTTCATATTTTCCATCGTTCTGGTTCTTCGATTTATTTAACCCGGTTCAAACGGATTCCGAGATCTATGATCGGTTCCACACTCTGGTTATAGAACAATGAGTGATGACAGTCAAAAGGTGGGGAAATGATTAATAAACATTTACAAACAGCGATAAAACCTTCTCATGTATTTGGTACAATAAATATTAGTGTGATCGAGATATCCTATCTCGAAAAAAGTTGTAACCTTTTTCTTCAATCTAAATGTGCAGGATAAGAGAATATTAATTCTAGGGGAATAGAGAAAAAAATGAGTTCTCTCCTACTCATCTGCGATAAACAAAATATCGCCCCTGCCCATAGTTTGGCAGTTAGTAATTGTTTACATAATTGGTTATCGGTACGAATATTGGAAAATACCGATGTAAATTATGTGTGGATAGGCACAACCCTACTATAAAAATTGGTGAGATTCCTATAAGATTATTTTATTGGTAGAAAACATGGATATATTTTTGGAAAAATAATAAAAAGATACCCTCGTTAAATTTGGACGAATATTTGTTCGATTTGGGGATATCGGTAGTATCATTCTCGTGATAATTCGGGTTGGTAAAAATATGCTTTTTATTAGCTACGCGTCTTCCCTCATTGGGTGCGCCATCTTGAGCCGGGAGTTTGGCTCCATCTTTGTTACGTTTTTTACCGTCCGTCAAAAATTGCATTAAGGTGACTACGTTATCGTCACGTGATTGGCAATCCCCTTTTCTGGTTCTAGCTCGCCTTTTCATTCGTCCTCTAACTGTACTCTTTTTACCCTTGAATTCTTTGCAGCTTCTTTCTTTACATTTTTATTATATTTTTTTGGAATCTGAAAGGATGCTAAAAGATAAAGTGATTGATCAGAAAAGATTGGCATTTTTTTATATTCAGGATTTAATTATGGCTCACGGATAATGCATGCCAATCATCGGACCAGGCATAAAACCATTTAAATCGACCCTACCTGCCCCGTTCTTAGGTGCGCTTAATTTAATATGGCATAACTCTTTAATACTATATATTATTGAAAACGTAAAGGGAACCAAAATAAAGAAATATTATAGTCGACTTCATTATTAAGCAAAAATCGAATTAAGGGGAAAGTTCTAGACCTTGGGGTGATCTCTTCCCTTTTTACATTTAAAAATATAATTCTTGTGTTTTTTAAAAATATATTAATACTGTTAAAATTCATAAAAATGGGTGTTAGTTATATAACAAAGATTTACCTTTATCCCTTTTAATCCCCGCTTCGTTGGTTGTGATTGACGAAGGGTCTTGTTCGAGTTTATCGGTACCCCCATGTACCTTAGAATCAACTTCTTTATCTGATGCATTCGACCGATTTTCGTAATTGATTATGGCAGATTTCAAGATAGTCGTCTCTTTGCTTCTTAATATAACATTTTAAAAAATTGGCTATTTTTTTAAAGGGAAAGGATGCAAATATCATTTTTGAATGACGCAGACATATAAAATTTGAATCGAATCTTAAAAAGAACCAATATGGGGGAAAAATACTTTACTTCGAGTTATCGATTGATTTGCCCTGCTTCTTCAGCACGCGTTCGGCGATAACCATCTGTCAAGTTTTTTTGGTATAAAACAGTTTTATCGTAATTATTATAAAATAACCTTTTTAAGTCGGGTCAATTTCTTTTTCTTTTTTGCGAACGATGGTATATAGGTGTTATGGCCTTGCCTTTCCTGTCTACAATTGGAAGGGAATTCTTGATCCGTTTTGGTGATACCAACTCTTTTCACAAATTCTGTATTTTTCTAATATTAAAATGGATAATTGGTGGTGGAGTTTAAACAGCCCGCCTATATTTTTTTTGAAAAAATTACCACCCCACCCCCATTGTTTAAAATTTTTTAAGCCAAATTCGCCCATGTTTTTTTTTAAAATTTACCCACTGCTGGGAATAAAATTTATTTAATTCAAAGCCAACTCGTGAGCAAGCCGACTCAGCTGATCTATTTACAGGCCTGTATAGTGACGCAAACTCGCTCCATTTGAGTCGATTTTGAAAAACGGCTAACTTCAGTATTTTATCCAGAAAAATATAAGGTTTTGCTCATAGGTATCATAAATGTTTGTACTAGATGCGCTTAGGCAATATTTATCTGACGAATATATTGAGTTGGCCGTTTTTAAAAATCGGGCTCAAATGCGAGTGATTTTAGCAATGAAGCTCACTTGAAGGTGTGTGTAGGGGGGAGTGGGTGATGAGTATATTTATGGGATTTTTCTTTATAAGCCACTAGGAAACAAATCCATGCTTGTGGACTTAAATAAGGGGGGGGGGTTATTTTAATTCGTATGAAAAAGATTTAAACCTTTGTTATAAAACAAGTTTTTTCAAATTTCCAAGAAAAATTTTTGTTATTATTTTAATAACATCAACTTCTACTAAAAATACAATTTTTTATTTAAAACTACCAAAAAGGAAAACTAGATTTCCCTGTATACGTCCCTCAAAAATTAAAAATTATATTCCAGAAATAAACTTATGATTTTTAAAAACGATTTAATAAGGAAATAAGGATAAATTAAGTTGTTTTTTTTGCTTGATGGGTGGAGGGTAATTAAGCCTAATTATCTCTCAAGAAATAACGATATCCTTATTACTTAATCAAGTGGCATTAACCTTTGAGACTTTCTAAATTAAAGTCCCGCAAGGATGGTTCATAGCCCAAAAATATTAATTATTATATTTCCATTCTATTCTTCCCCATTTTGCCTAATTGAATATCCCGATTCAAAAATGATTTTCTCTTTTTTTTAAAAAAAAAACACAATGTCACCATTTACCTTATTAGTAGCTAGAGTAGGACGTGTAATAAATATCTTGTAGGCCTTTGATTTCTTCTTGGTCGCATTGTCGCTGATGAGTTTAAGTTTGGTAAGCTTCAATTTTACAACAAAAAATAATTTACAGAAAATTACAATGATCTAAATATAAAATATGTCTAACCACCCACATTCATAGTAAGAGCGTTTGAATTCACGCTAACTCCAAATGTGGGGTAAGGAAGTGTCAATATTAAATATAGGATCAGACCGATAACTACCAATTTTAAATTGTTTCAACAAAAACTGAACCAACCTGATATTATCATTGTTTTTTGGTTATTTTATGATTGATTATATATATTTTCAACTTTCGTTAATATCATCCATCCTAATCTTATATTACAAATTAAAAATGGGGATAAAGATGAGGAGCCCTTCACACGTTTGTGGGCAAGCCGCACGTACTTGTAGGCGTAATAGTCCTGGGATTATTACTTAAACGTCTGTGGGCTGATGGGGAATGGTCAAAAATAAGCACAGCCCACACCCATAAAATGCTTACTATACCCAAATTACTTTAAAGGCAAAGGAGGACCTTTTTTAATCACAAGGTACATTAGATATTTGCTGGGAAAAGAGCAAATAAAGAATGGAAAGAAAAAATAAGTCAGATAAAGAATGAGAAGAGAGAAAAGGTAGCGAAAGTAAAAGAAAATAAAAGTAAAAATAACCTGTTTCTAGGAGGAGTTTATGGGAGATTTAAATTATTTGATTTGATCCTTAACAGTTTCTTTATTGACCTCTTATCTTTATTCAACCTTAGAAACTGTTTCGTGTTTAGGTTTAAATCCATTATATCCTTTATTGCCCTATAGAATGATAAAGTTTTAAACTTCCCATAAGTTTTGCTGTTGAAGGAATATAACCAATTTATGGCCTCGAGGACCAGGGTATTATTTGTATGATTTCTCAGAAAATGAGCAAAAAAAGTGAGACGCTTCTTTTTTAAAGTCACATGTACTTGAGTGTGGCGTGACCTCTTCCAAAGGTTATCATTTGAGATAATGTTGGGGTAAAAGATGTGGCTCACGGGGAGGATGCCAGCAGACTGGAATATGACACAACTTCCCCAAAACCCCGAATCCTATCAAATTTAAAGATTATAGAGCCATTGCTCTTACATCTATTGTGTCCAAGGTTTTCATGATTCTTCTATAAAACCGTATCCTAGCTTCCACACCAAATCTCCTGTCTAAATACATCTGCGCTTATCGCCCAAATAGGAATATCAATGAACCAATATTGGCATTGAAGATAACAATACAGAAGTGCGAGAACTATAAATTACCGTTTTACTTTATCTTCGTTGATTTCAAGCGTGCTTTTGACAATGTTATTCATGATACTTTGTGGGCAATCTTAGAGGGATGCGGCATTGACGTAAATATCATTAGTATTCTTAAGACACACTATAGTATTCTTTTTGCCTCGTTTAAAATCATTAATAAAGTTTCTCCCCCTTTAGAACAAAAAAAGGAGTAAAGCAAGGGTGTGTCGCCTCCCCGCTGCTGTTTAATATAGTTATGAATAAAATAATTACCGATTCGCTGGGGGCCGCAAATCTTTTGGAACTTCAATAAGTCATGGTTTTTGAAAAATAGGGTGATTTGTTATGCGGACGACTTGGTAATGATTGCTAAAAGCTTGGAGGTGGCCCAAAATTTGGTCTTGATACTAAATTCAGTTTAAAGGTCGGATTGGATATAAACTTTGATAAGACTGTAATTATGCCATCGTCTCATGCACCCCCTTTGGGTGATTGGGTGGTAGGGGGAAAGTTGGTTAAGGTGGTGTCCTCCTACAAATATCTTGGGGATAATAGAGGTAGTTGCAAAGATGAACTAAAAATCAGAATTCAAAATCTAAGAGGTGCCTTTTATAAATATTTCAAACTGGAAATCCAGGGAGATATCGGTTTACACTAGGCTACGAATCTTTAATTCCACCATTATTCCAATTCTCTTTTACGGCGGTGACATATGGGAGATAACGAAGACAGAGACCAGGAAACTACAGAATGATAACCTTTGGAAGAGGTCACGCCACACTCAAGTACATGTGACTTTAAAAAAGAAGCGTCTCACCTTTTTTGCTCATTTTCTGAGAAATCATACAAATAATAGCCTGGTCCTCGAGGCCATAAATTGGTTATATTCCTTCAACGGCAAAACCTATGGGAAGTTTAAAACTTTATGGTTCTATAGGGCAATAAAGGATATAATGGATTTAAACCTAAACACGAAACAGTTTCTAAGGTTGAATAAAGATAAGAGGTCAATAAAGAAACTGTTAAGGATCAAATCAAATCTCCCATAAACTCCTCCTAGAAACAGGTAATTTTTACTTTTGTTTTTTGTTACTTTCGCTGCCTTTTCTCTATTCTCATTCTTAATCTGACTCATTTTTCCTTTCTATTCATTATTTGCTCTTAATTTTCCCATCATATATCTAATGTACCTTGTGATTAAAAAAGGTCCTCCTTTGCTTTTAAAGTAATTAAGTATATAAGCATTTTATGGGTGTGGGCTGTGCTTATTTTTGACCATTCCCCATCAGCCCACAGACGTTTAAGTAATAGTCCTAGGACTATTACGCGTACAAGTATGTGTGGCTTGCCCACAAATGTGTGAAGGGCTCCTCATCTTTATCCCTATTTTTAATTTGTCCAGTTAGATGGATTATGAGGAAAACCTGACTTAGCTCTGTTGTATCCACAACTAGAGGGCGAAAACGTTTTTTATCAAGTAATTGAAATATAAGCTTTTTAATTGTAAGTAACATGATCGATTAATTAAAGCTTTTTTAAAGCATCATTAATATTACATACTAACAACTCAGACTCTCCAAAGGCTCTTGTCTATGAGATTGATTTAATTATAAATGAATTACTAGACCTAGGCTATTTTTTTTATCAGTCTTCAAATTATAAGGTAGGACAATTAATCATATTTCATTCAAAATGTTCCTGATTGATGATATAATAACATATACCATCAAATTTGTCCCTCTGAAACAGAACAATTGCAATCACAATATAGGGCCTATGATCCATGAAAGCACCAATCCCCCATTCATAATTCCATAGGTACCCCCTAGTCTAATTCAATAAACCATGAAACTTCAATACCAGCTCTAACAACGATTCCTGATTTACCCAATCCCCTAATCTCCCCTGCAGATAAATCTCTCAAACTGTAAATCCTTAAATTTTAAGCTTAAAGGGGTTAACCATTCAACTAAGAATAACTCCAAAATTGTTTTAAAAAATAGGAGAACTTTTCCCTTGTCAATTGTAATCTCAGAGCTACTGTCTAACATCTAAAAGGCACATACTCTAGCAAAATTAAACAAAATCATCAGCTAAAATATTAATGCAGCCCCCAACTCACAACAATTCCATAGCCAAAAATGACCATAATTACTCTTGACTCCATCATAATATGCAGTATTACTGGGTGATTCCACGTCAAATAGACCAAAAAAAACGAGATTTTCGGCCGACCATCTCAAAAATGAATGAAACTTTGCATGTTAGTTATTTATGTTGTAAATGTTAATAAAATCAAAATTTTAGAGTGCTAGCTCAACCAGATCCAAAGATATACGCCTTCAAAGTTGAAATCCGCGAAGTGGGTGATTTCTTTAAATCGTGTTTTTTAAAAAAATACTTAGGATAGAGTTACAATTTATATATCATTCTATAGCCCTTAAAATTTTACGTTGGAAAATATAAAAAAAATTAAAAAATTTCAAGTGTTTTCTTATTTCCGGTAAAAATAAAAAAATTAACATTGTTAGGAAGGGATTTTTTTGGGTTATAATATTCACTAAAAATGTTTATTACCTTTATATTAAACGATTTAATAAAAAATCTCGATAGCCATTTTTGTTTTTTGAATTTTATTTGAATTTTTATTATTTTTATAAATAAAAAAATGTAATATAGATAGCGTTATGGTAAAATATTTTTAAAATATATAATTTTTAATAAAAATATGAATAGTATTGTGATTAAAATTAAAAAATCAATTGAGTATAACCTAGAATGATGTCCTGGGGCGATATGTAAGCAGGCAGCTTATACAGATATTATTTTATTTGGACGCTATATTGTAAAATAAACATATTTTAAAATAAACATATTTTAAAATTTTATACACAAACAATTACAAAAAAAAAACCTCTTGTTTTAATCTTATATCATTTTGTTCTAATTAATAGAATTTCTTGAGATGATAATTTGTAGGTACATCCTGTCACTGTAATAGGATCTACTATCGTTATTATTTGATTAATGGGTAACCATATCTTTTCCTCAATTGTGGGGTAAAAGAAGGATGGTGATGGTCCATGGGGATGTAAAATGAATATATATATCTCCTCAGAAATTTCATTTTTTTTAGTACTGTGGCTAACCACCAAAAATCGTCAAAAACACATGTTACAAATCCCTTATTATCAGCAAAAGGCAAATTATCAGCATTTGATATTACTGTTAATTTGAAAGTCCTCTGCACATGAATATATTTTTGATTTAAGCTTACTTAAACTCAAAGGAAATACAGCATGTATTTCCCGAGTTCCTGGAATGGGACGTGCTAAACTGAATCTTGCTCGAAGTTTAATCTCTTGCAAATTGTATTGTTCTTTTGTTATATATGTAAAATTTGCTGATGGCATGTTTTGTTTTGCAAATTGATATAAATCAATTGGCGTTAAAATGTGGCCAGAACTAATGCGCTGAAGGCTTGAATGTGCTGCTAATCTATTTAATGTTCCGCAAGGCTGTCACATGGACCTTTTCCATGGGATGTAGCTAAAAAATGCCATTCAGATGCTACACCAAAATCTGATTTATGATAACACATATTTATAAAAAATTTTCTGTTTTTATATTGCGCAGCTGATCCGTCGGAGCAGTAATATATTTCGCTTGGCTTTTTGTTGAATTGATTGGTCAAAAACTTTATCATTTTAGTCTGGTATAAATGGACTGCAATAACGTCATGTTGAAGTGAATCTAAATAAACTTACCTTATGTAGATTTTTTGAAATAGATTTGTGGCCCTCTCTAAAAAAAGGATTGGTACAAAGCAACTTACAATTTTTAATGCTGAATTTAAAAAAATAAGATTTAAAGTTAAAAAGAATTATTATTTTAAACCTTATGTTTTTTTCAATCATTGTTTAATAATTAAATTTTCTATTTATCGATTAAAAAATGTAATAGAAAGAAAAGAATAAAAAAATAAAATAAAATAAACTGATAAAATCTTTAATTTCAAATAATAACGATAGTAGATCCACAAAAATGAAAGTATATATCTACAAATTATGGCTTTATGAATTTCTATTAATAAGCGCCAAATTATATTAGTTTGATTTAAAAATATGTTTATTTTACAATATAGCGTCAATAAAATAATATCTGTATGGGCTGCTTGCTTACATATCGCCCCAGGACATATTCTTGGTTATACTCGATTGATTTTTTTAATTTTAATCACAATACTATTCATATTTTTATTAAAAATTATATATTATAAAATATTTCAATATAACGCCATCTATATTACATTTTTTATTTATAAAAATAATAAAAATTTAAATAAAATTAAAAAAACAAAAATGGCTATCGAGATTTTTTATTAAATCGTTTAATATAAAGGTAATAAACATTTTTAGTGAATATTAACACCCAAAAAAATCCCTTCCTAACAATGTTAATTTTTTATTTTTACCGGAAATAAGAAAACACTTGAAATTTAAATTTTTTTTTATATTTTCCAACGTAAAATTTTAAGGGCTATAGAATGATATATAATTTGTAACTCTATCTTAAGTATTTTTTAAAAAAACACGATTTAAAGAAATCACGAAAAATCACGCACTTCGCGATTTTCGACTTTGAAGGCGTATATCTTTAGATCTGGTTGAGCTAGCTCTCTAAAATTTTGATTTTCTTAACATTTACAACATAAATAACTAACATGCAAAGTTTCATTCATTTTTGAGATGGTCGGCCGAATCATTGGTCGATTTGTCATGGAATTACCCTACTATCAAATTCAAATGCATTGGCTATGGCAAAATAGTTGACAGACCACCTACTACAATGCAAATATTCTCTTGGTTGTCATACCACCCCCACAAAATAATTAGCAAAATTGATTATAAACTTTCTTAAAGGCTAATATACCATTCAACCTTCAAGTAGATCTCCCTTCTCAATGATAGTTTTAAAAGATGAGATGGCATTTCCCAATAACTTGGTCTAATAGCCTTCCCCTAGCTTGGGACTATGATTTTTAGCTAAATAAAATATTTAATACTTTGCCCTAACTCACACCAAAACTTTAAAAAAAATAATGATATTCAAAATGCAATTTTAATTTCCAGTTACAAATACCTTTAAAATTTTTGGGGGAAAGTCAAATTATGTGAATCGTTGATTTATTACAAATCCAATTTAATTTAGTTTATTTTTTAAAATCCATTAGCGAATTCCTTCTAAATAGTGTGAGCTTTGGTTTTCTTTATGCAAAACACAAACAATGCATTTCAAATGTATTATGCAAATTGATCAGTGCTTAGAAGTATTTATAAAAATGCAAATTTGTTTGCCCTTTTCTTTGAAAATGTTAATTAGGTCACATTATAAAGCAGTGTTCAAGACATCAAAAAATTTACTTCTAAAACTTTATTGAAAAAATATTTTTTTTTATAGAAAATAAATATATGGCCAAAACATATTTGTGAAATTTTTAAAACTGTAATTAGATTTCCTTAAAACTTAAAACACTTGTGAACACAACCTATGCTAATTAAATTATATATAATAAATATTTGTAAAAAAAATTGATATAAAAACCTCTGATTCTGCCTCTTTTATAAGCTCTCCAATGTTTATTGTATTGTCAAGTCTTTTAGAAGGTGCATTGATACCAAGTAATAACTTTTTATCAATTTTAATAATGCCACCTTTATCTATATTTAAATAAATTTTAAAAAATCTTATTCAAAGATATATATAATTACAATGCTCTTATAATAGTTAAATTAGGAATGAAAAATTAATTGCTCTCTAAAATTTAAATTATTCTTCATAAATTACTGTTTTGTTTATTTGTGAATTTTGATACCTCTTTTGCATAATTTTGACGAGGAAAAGATTTTAATGGTACTGATAATCTAGAATCTTTTATATCAACTAAACATTTGGTTTTCAAAACTCCTGAGATATCCTTTAAAAAATATTAATTATTTGTAAATATAATAGAAAAAAATCACTTGAGTAGGCTTTTCACATTTCTTTGTATAATTCACATCATGATTCTTAGACTTATGTGTTGTTTTTATATTTGATTTATTAATAAATTTAGAATTACATTGTTTATCTTCAGATACGTTTTTTTTTGGGGGGTTAAAATAATAATTTTGACTTTGGCTTGCACCATTATCAATCACGTTATTACATGTTGGTTTATAATGGTTATGAGGAATATTATACAATAAATGTTGACTAGTGTAGTTATTTATATTATTATACGGTTGATAGTATATTTGAGGATACAACAAATGATTGTTTTCATCATTCGTCATATTTAAATGGCAATAATTATGATTGTAATTCATAACATTCGTATAAACATATGAGATTACTCAAATTTTATTCGTTGTTATAAGTTACTACCAAAGGTAGCATTGAACGCGATTCAATATTTTAGACTTTTTGACAGACTAAATGACATAATCATATTATTTTCCAGAAAACAAAATAATCTTGGAAATTTAGTTCATAGATGGCATAAAGATTTGGACATTATATGTACTTTTTTAATTGGAACAAATCTAGCCATTTAAAAATACTTCTTCTCCGGTATGTTTTATTGTTGCTAAAGAAAAATGTTTCTTTCTTTGGTAGAAGTACTAGTGGGTAGAGTTGCCAAAATATACAATTATTTTAATATGTAGTCTAAAATATGTTTGAAATTATGCGAATTATTTTGTAACATAGTCAACAATATTCAAGCTTTTATACCATAGTTTTATAGGCGTAGCCGGGGGGGGGGGCAAGGGGAAATCCCCCCCTCCCCTTCAGAGATTTATCATGTAAATATCATTTTTAGCTAAAAAATATATCCGCAGTAGTCTTGCCCCCACTCCCTGACCCTTAAAAATGTATGCATATATCTTAAACAATAATTTGAAAGAAAGAATGTAAAAGTTGATATTTTTTTATAAAACTATTCATCATAATTTATACATTTTTGGGAAAATAAATTTATAAATATATAAAATGAACCAAAAATGTTTTATAATAAATGGAATATAAGCCAAAGATAAGTCTTAAGACAAAAGTGAAATGTAATATAATTATTAATAATAGATCCATAAAATTAATAAATAATATAATATAATCAAATAAAAATTTTTATAAAGAGATTAATTGTAATTTATTTATCTTAATAAAAGTAAAATATAATTATAAAACTATTGATACAATTAAATCATAAATTAAATAAAAATAATAAAGCACAATACAAACAGTGCAATAATATATCTCGTAGATTTACAGTATATCTAATTTTATCAATTATCATATGACAATCAAGTAATTTTAACTAATATAGCGAATTATATATTTTACAGAAAACTATAAATATTGATAAGGACATCAGAAAATATCTTGATATTGTGGGATGAATAATATGAAGATTAAATTTAATATCATATTTTTATTTAAAAAAATAGATGGCGTTAAATAATTGAATGCAAATTGTAGCTATATTTAAATAATTATTAAGAGCATTGATTAGCAAAATTTTTTAAATTATTAACTGTAATATATTCTCTAACTGTCAAATATGTCTGTAGAAGGGGAATTTTACCTAGTATTTTGTAACTAATTCTATATAATAGAGGAATATCAACTATATGTCTATTTACTTTTTATAAATAAATTTATTATATTATTTGGAATAAATTATTACCATGCTTTTATATTAATGTATATACAAGTAATGTATTATATTTAATATAAACTAATAAAAATATAAATCATATTTGTTCCAGGCTTATTTTTTTATTAAAATTTGTAAAAATATTTTATGACTATATATAGACTAAGGTAACCCGGTCTTCGGCCGGGCAAAAGCGGGCCGAAGGCCCCAGTAATTTTTTAATTCCCCCCTCCCCTTATGAAAACCCTGGCTACGCCTATGCATAGTTTGCATTAAGGTGGTAATTTATCAAGGAATATTTTTATATTCTCACAATAAAAATCTGTCAATATTTTAATTCCATCAAAATTTAAAATAGCTTCGGAAGGATTCTGCAGCAATAAATATTGCAGATTTGTAAGTGCTGTTGATTAACCAAGAACCATCATTCATTTGAATTATAAAAGTATCTAAGAGGTGGATAAAATTTATTTAATAATATTTTTTGACTTACCCTCTATTCATATTGGAACTGTGGGCTTGGCTTGCTGTCAGTCGATATAGATAAATATTAATTTCATAGAGCTAAGCTTTTGATTCAACATTGACAATTAGTACTAATTTCCTTAAATTACAATATAATGCTTTCATACACTTATAGTCTCAATCATATCGATGTCTTTGCAAAGAAGAGTTTTAAATGATTTAATGGGGAATTTTAAAATACGACTTTGATATAACTCCAAGCAAAATTCGAAATGTTTATTTCGGATGTAAATATGATAAGTAAATTTAAATTGGGATATATATGTAACAGTAGAAATAAGTATTATAAAATATAAATTAATTATCATAAAATAGTAATTTTTTTGGAAAATATTTTAACCAGAATCTAACTTTTATTTTTAGTTATGCATTGGTCTATATTTCACTTTTAGCAAAAAATTATCAATAAAGACTTTAGTGATCTGCATTGCCAATTTCCTAGGCCCGACTCATAATGTTTCTTAAACATTTGTCATTTTCGGCTAGATCCCGAACGAAATTTCATTTCTCCCAAAAAGCCCGACCTTAAATAAAAAGAAAATTTTGTGCGCTCGCCTGACCCGAATTTATCTAAATATAGAAAAATTTACTTTTTATTTTATTGTAAAAATAATATTCTACAAATAAAAAATATTAGCATCTTGTTTCTTGCAAGAATTTTAAAATATATTATTTAACATAATATAATATAATATAATATTTTAAAATTTAAGCCCAACTAGGCCCCAGTTTTTTTAAAAATTGTAAGCCTGGCCCAACCCAAACCTAAGTTATTTTTTGAAAATAGACCAGGGCCGGGTACGTGCCTGCCCGTGATTTGCAGATCTCTATTGAACATAATTAAACTGCAATTGATGGTGATTCAAATATATATAAACTAGAATGAACGTTTAAAAAAAATAATAATTAATTATTAATTCACATTTTTCTCAAGGTAAATATTATATATTGATAAAGATATCATTAAATTGCAATTTGATGGTAATTCAGAATATTTATCAATTAGGTATGTTGTAGAATTCAAATTAATTTTATATAAATATTGTCTAATGTCCATTATAAGAATTATTAATTTATTGCATGTCATGTAAGTTAAATATTATAGATTATGTAAATGAGGATATTTCGAAGATGTTAATTCTAAAAAGAAAGTTTTATATTTTTAATAATTTTACTTTTTAATTTTTTTATATTTTTCTCTCAATTTTTATTTTAATTTTTACTTATAACTTTTACTTTTTAATATTTTTCATAATTTTACTTTTTAATTTTCCACTTAAATTTTTTTTAATAATATAAAATTTTTTTATTATGTTATTATAAATGTAAATGGGAGCATATGTATGACAACGTATAATAAAAGGATTAGTAAATTATGATTTATATGTCTATGTTTATGATAACAAACCTTTAAATTTTATATATATTTTTTCTTCTTTACTAGGGTTACTTCAAACTATGCTTTATACAAAGTACATACAACATTAAATTTAAAATGTTGTCCAAATACTATAAGTTTTTATCAATAAAATAATTTTTTGATTTTTACATTTTTTACATTTTTAACATTTAACATTATTTTATATAGTATATATTTCGGTGAAATAATTCAATGGAGTAACTAGCCTTTACAATCTCAGGGGGCTCAATTATGAAAAAATTTATGGGAGCAAAGCCCCCAATACCCTCCCTTCGAATATAATATTTTTTAAAACAAAATATTTATCTATTTATTACAATATTAGATATTTTCGATTTTGAATATAAAAAAAAAGTTTTGTCTAAAGAAAAGTGATAAAAAAGGTTATCCTCAATTGATACTGGTTTAAACCACTCAGGGCGATATGATTCTTAGATATGATTTACATGTAAGGAAGTTTAATGACTTAAATTATTAAATATTACGGGATTGTTTTACCTACCCCCCTAAATCGAAATATGAAAATAGATAAGAACAATCATATATCCTACCCATTCTTATTATGTTTTAATAAAGATCTTGCATCACACCCCCCCACCCCATCACCACTCCCCTTGTGAAGTGAATTAGCTATATATTAGTCAGCTGTCGTTTAACATCAGCGTTTTGGGAATCACCAGAAATAGCGTCATCCAAAATAATTTCATCCCTTAGAATGATCATTACAAATATAACAGGTAAAAATATTTGAGAATAATAAGTATATTTAAAAGCAGAAGATTCACTTAAAATATTTTGCATTGTCACTATCCCTGGATTATGCCATGCCATTTTACCCTCTGCCGTTTACCCGGGGATAGTAAGCTACCTAAAATGACTCTACAAAATTTTATTGATGTGCTAGAAACTTCGGATCAACTTTAATAAATAGCCAAAGACATTGATCCCTAACCTAGCTCTAAACCACATAGCATATACATTTAAAAGAATTGTAAGAGGTACTTATGCCTCAAAGCAAAAACACCAAAAGAAAAAAAATTAGGAAAAATTGATTAAAATTGTTTTTGGTGGATAATTTTAAACAAGAGATCCTTGCTAAATAAACATGTAGATTGAAAGTATAGAAATACGTGTTTTAAAAAAATTTGAAACAATTAGTTCTTAAAATGAAAAAGTTAGCTGTTTTCCATTTTTACCCCACATGCCGTATAGTCCCGGTCTCACATATGCTAAAATATTTGAAACAAAATAATTAGTAAATTATGCAATCGATCGAATGGGATGAGGTAAATTTATTTGACAAAAATAAAGCATTTATAGGCTATGTTCAAACATTTTTTATTAATTTTACTTAAACACGATATATCAAGATAAAATTTACCAAGTGTCTACATGAATGGGGGGGGGGGACTATTAGGCACTCAGGGTAGGGGAAGGTATAAATCTCAGGCATATTGCCTCATATTTATTTCTCCCTCATGTAGAGGCTAAATTGACCTTGATTTGTTCATCGTTTTTCAATTTTTTTTTAAATCAGTGTAAATCAGATATATTGATTAAATCAAAAATATAATAATAACTTAAATTTTTTTTATTCCTTATAATATATAGATATCTCGATTTAAAAAAAAATATATAAGCATATTAATTTAATATTAGATATAATTAAATTTTTTAAATAAATAAATGAACAAATGAAGGAATATAAAATAATGATTAAAAATAAAATTCATTAATTAAATTTAATAGTATACTGATTAAATTTTTCAATTTATTGACTCATCTTGGGAGTATTCCAAAAAAAATTGTTAATCTTAACTTGTAGCTAAAGAAACCTTCCTTAGAATATTTAAAAAAAAAATTCAAATTAAATAGAAATATCAATAAGCTCTTAGAAGATTTCAAAAACGAAAATTCATATAATATATGTTAAAGTAAAAACCCACATTATAATTATAAATTAGGAGCTCTATCAGTGTTGTTGAACACTACTTTTAAAAGGAGCGCGCTACCGCTACGGCTATTTGCCAAATAAATGTGGGGAGTTACCGCTACTTTAACCTGTCAAAAACAAGTAGCGCTCTATTAGCTACTTCTACCTTAAAAATAATTGCCAATAAACTTTTTTTATTTTTTGGTTTTAATATTTATATTTGTGTATTATATTAAAAAAAAAATCAACATTTTATAAATATTTTAAAGTTTATTAATTGTAAAAGAATTTATATAAATAATGTAATAAAAATAATTATCGTTTTTATTTATTTAATAAATTAAATTTTAATAATAAAATCATTTCAATATTATCTTATCATTCCCAAGTCTAGATCGCCGATTATAAGTTTAGCTAAACCTAATAATCGCTCAACACGAGCACTTGAGGGTAATGTGGTGTTTAAATTTATAAATTAATTTTTTAAATAGTGAATCAAAAAATGAATTTAATGGGGTTTTCAATGAGATTTATCCATTATCTCAAAATGATTTGTAGCAGTCATTTTTGTGGGGCTGGTAGGTAACTAATGAATCCTTCTTTGGACCCAGATTTAGAAAATATAAATTTAAATTTCGTGGCTTAAAGTTATATTTTTAAAAAGTACCGCGCTAACTAATGTCTATTTTTAAAATAGGTAGCGCACTATTAGGTATAGCAACTGTGCTACCAGGGGTGGACTGGAAGGCTAAATGCCACATGGGATATTTCTAAACCTTTGCCTCCGAACACCCGTTTGCGGGTCTATATCTCGCTTTTACCCGGCCAGAGGAAATTTATAGAAATTAAAAAAAATTTAGAATCTTACACAAATTTCCAGGCAGTTGAAGTATCTAAGTTTTTTGTTTGTAAATATCTTGATAGAGGCCCAATTATTTCAAAAAATTTTTTGTACCTTTAGCTATTAAGGATACCTAAATATTTTTTTCTTTATATTTAATTATCTATGTCAGATAAAATTTATTAGATGTTATGTTTGAATGAAAATATCATTAATCAATATATTTAAGTAAAAAAATTTAATGGATAAATATTGTAATAGAGTTCTCAATCTCCCCTTTCTAGCCCAGGAACATTTTTAAACATTTACATTTGAATTTAACAAATATGGTTCATTTTAGTTAAGGAATGGGGGGAGGGGGTTATAAATTTTCCCTAATATTTAGTGCACAAGCAAAAATAAACCAACCAACCATTATTTTAAAGGAGGAACAAGGGAAAGTTTTCTTAGCAAAACTAGGTAACTTTTATCAACTTAAGATAAATGCTTTGCAAAGTTAAAAATATTTTATTTTTATAACAAAATTTAAAATGAATATGAAATATCTGATTTTACCGGATATATACTCCAACATGTTTGGAATACCTACCCTATGAATTTCAGTCAATTTTGCCATGAACTTTTCAACTTAATACAATTTATATTAATTTTCTATCGAATTTTTTATATAAATCATAAATGACCCAAAATGTTAACAGCAAAATTGTTTACAATTCATATGATAACTACTATTCTAAACATGCTGAATTACCCTTGCGGTAAAATCAGATTTTTTAAATTTATTTTAAAAAAAACGCGCTCAGAAAATGATTTAAAGTTGAAAAAATAACACATTGCCAGATATGTTTAATATTAAAATAATTATTTTTTTTTCACAGGGTTTGGTTTTGTCTTGTGTGTGGTTTATTATTTTGATTTCGGCCCATTCCCATTAAATTATACATATAATAATAATAACATTCTATATATATTTAGCAGAGATCTGTGGGCCTGGCCCTAAGCCCAGCCAGGGTACACGGGTCGGACCTTATTTTTTTTTAAAATATACCCTATCCAAATATTTTAAGTCTCCATTATTAATTATAAAAATTAAAAATAAATATAAATTCCAGGCCGGGCCGGGCTCCAAATGGTTCCTCTGCAGGCCTCTGATATTTAAATAAATTAATTAAATATTTACTATTTACTTGCGGTTATTTATTTGAAGACAATATTCATACGAATAAAATATTTTTCCCTATTGAATATCTAAGGACTAATTAAAATAGGGAAATGGTTAATTTCCCATTATTCAGGGCTTAACTTTATAATCTTATTTTTTAAAATTTTATTTTAATAGAGGTTTTAGTACTTATAATTCCACCAGAAAATTAAATTTATATTTAATAAATGTTTAAATTTATAATATTCAAAAAATTATTCTGTATAAATACTTTATTCCGATTTTATGCCAATTATGTTTTTTAAAAAAAAACCTTTTTTTCTTTCCCTAGGCCCCAAATTTTTAAAATATCGAGGCCCCGTAGGACTTTTTCTTACTAGGTTTAACTGGCCAGTCCGCTCTAGTGCGCTACTTTAATAACTCTGAACCCAATTAATAATTAGTTTTAAAAATCTCTTCTTTTTTTGATCGATAAAAATGTTTAAATTTAGCAAAATTTTAAATCAATTCATTTATTTTTGTTGTTCAATTTAGTATTATAATATTTGGTGGTTTATCATTAATCATTCAATCTAATATTGTCATAAAAATTTTTTTTTTAATTATTACTTGCATATTTTGCATTCTTATGACATTTTTATACATATTTATCGATAATTATTTATAATTTTAATATTTATCATATATCAAAAAATTGTTTACAATTTGAAGAATACTAATTGGATTCTTAATTTGTTTTAGTGCAACTTTAAATTTCCTTACGGTAAATATTTTATTGGAGAAAAAAATCTTCAAAGTCTTTGGCGATGGTCTTTGTTAGCCTCATTTTTGCCTTTTCCTTATTTTTAGCAATTTTAACAATCATGGCTAATGGATATATCATGTTCCTTTTCTTACGTCACAAAAGTATAAGGGTGGCACGTAATTACATCATTTTTAGCTTATCCCTGGCCGACTTTTTGATAGGTTTATTCGCTATGCCGTTTGCCGCTGATCAAAATCACCTAAAATATTGGAATTTTTCCAAATCATTCTGCAATTTTCACGCTATAATGGACTCCCTAGGCACCTTGGTCAGCATATTCACAGTCACCCTAACCGCCCTTTTAGATATAAGATTAGTCTTCGGGAAGGGCATCAAAAATGTATATTCGCCTATAAATATAGGCATCATCTTAGCGCTCAGTTGGCTAATTCCTGGAATGACTCTCTTAGTACCCATATCGATAAATCCAAGACAAATGAGCTTATTTATTAAATATATACAAAATGATTCTTTCTTGTTAATGAGGGCAACAAGAAATGTTACGACTACTAATGTAACGACTAACGCGACTACAACTATAATGAAGGCAACAAGCAATGTAACGACTACTAACGTTACGATTAACGCGACTACAAAGATAATTATCTTTCAATGTTTACCAAGTTTTCCGACAGACCAATTTACAGGCCAAGTAGTGTTCTTCTTCATAATAGGATTATTCTTGACGATAATAGCCTATACAATCATTTTCTTTAAAATCAGATCTAGGAAAAGGGCAATTTCTGCTTCGATTGTGAGCCCAAATTTATCCCTAAACTCATTTGAAAATTTAGTAAGCTCACAAATTCTTAAAATCCGTAAAAGTTCTTCCAACTGGACATCCGAGAAAATTATAAAAGCAAACGCAAGCGTAAGGTTGAAACGTAACGAAAATCTTTTGCGAATGATGTTTGCAATAGGTATGTTAGCCTGGGTTTGTTATCTACCAAGTTCAATCGTCTTTTTATTGGAAGCTAACGCTAAGATTCCGTTGTGGGCATACAAACTTGGGATATGGTTGGCATATATTAAATCCACAATAAATCCTATAATATACGGATTTATGAATAAGAATTTTAAAAAATTTATATGCAAAACATTTCGACCCGTCGTTGAACATAAAAATAGAAGTATAATATTTAAATATTAGAGAAATATAGTGTTTTGTTTGTAAATAAGATATTGTATAAATATTTTGTTAATAAACATTTTCACCATTATAATTTGAAAAAAAAATAATATAACCATCGATGACGGTTTATTAAACAACCCCTGCTTTATTATCGTATTTATTATGGGTACCTCTGAATTTGGAATTCTATTTCAAAAAATACTAATTTATTATTAAAATTTACTAAATGGAGTTAGGAAGTATAATGTATAAATATGAGAGAATTATTATTATTTTTTTAAAAAAATATAATTTTTAATTTTGGATGCACCCTCTCATAAATATAAAAGGATTTCTATATTATAATAAAAAACTAGTGACAATATTTTTGAATTTCAAGTTATTTATTATGTAGGCTAGTGCAGTATAATCAGTAAATTTCAGAAATATCTGAAGGCCTGACAAGGTTTAGTAGATCACAGTGGCGAAACCAGGATTTCTCCATAAGAAAGGGGGGGGGGATTTGGTGGGCTCCTCCCTAAAAGTCCGTTTTGATCAAAATAAGTTTCTTCTTATGGTTCTTATATTTGATTGAGGAACTTACTTCCGATTTTTTCTATATTTTCCATTCAATCATGATGCCAATTTTGACAATTTTTCTTTCTACTGACCAACCTGATTAAATTAATTTACAACTAAGCATAAGCTGGTCAAAATTTTGTAATCAATTTTTTCTTTTATACTGGTTAAAGTCAAGCATAAGAAAGCACAAAACATTGGCACATTTTAGAATTAATGCTTGTAATTGTTTACCCAAATTTAACGGAGATGATATAAAATAACGGAAAAATAAATAATAATTTTTTATATTAAAAATTAAAACTATGACGCCACATTAGAGTGAAGTGACACAAGCTTTCGAAAACACTATATCTGACTTATACTATAAGTATGACTTTATTAATACATTTTATTGTTTTATACTGTTTGGTAAATCGTGGTAAAAAACTGCTAAAATAAGCATTATGCCACAAAGGATTTAGGTGAGGGCTATAACTTTCTGGGGTCGCATTATATTCTTTAATTAATTTTGCCAGCCACAAAAGCGAATTACGAACTGAATCTAAACTATTATATCATGCCTAAAGCGCAAAGTCAGCCAAATATCTGGAAGTATTATGTATGATATTTATATTAATAAATTAGTGCGTATTTCATATTTTTTCTTTGTGGTTCAAAACCATTTGGTAGATAATTTAAGAAAAAAACATTATCGGCAAAATAAATAATGTCAAAATTGACATCATGCTATAGTATATTAATATTTTTCACAAGTGGCGATTCCATTATTCATTTACGGGGAAAAGTTACTTTCTTTAAAGATAAATATGCTCTCATTCTGAGAACAGACATATAATAGCTAATTACTCATCTCTTATATCCCATTTCTACTCCCCAAAAACCTCAATTCTATAAAATATACGATTTATCTGATATCTATTATGTACCAATGATCAGTAGGATTTACCGACTATAAAAATGTCTTCAATAAATTTTTTGGCTCAGGTATGTTTAAGATTTCTTGATGACGATGATAAAATAAAATCATTTTATACTGAATCTAATAAATACCTTAATAAAATAATTACATAAGGAAATAATGCGAATATGAAAAAAAAACAAATGAAATAATCTAAGCATCATTACATTCGATTAATTATTCCTGGAATTCTTTGCTCCAATAAACATTAACAGAATCAAATTTAGGGTGTACACCCACATATCAAAAAAAAACACAAATTTCCATTGATTAATTTTTCTTCTAAAACAATTTGTAAAATATAACTTCATTTTTAAAGCATTTATAGGCCAATTAATGGACCCAATTTTATCAAAATGTTAGTTTTATTATGGCTAAAAGTTAAGAAAGTCTACTGAGATAATATTAAATAAATTTAAACTTTATTTAATAATTTATAGTTTGTGTCGTGTCAGTAATAGATAAGACTTTAATAAATCAGGAAACCTTTTGAATTGTATTAATTTTTTTCTTCTAAACAACAAAATTAGGAAACAAATAAGCCAATCTTTAAAATTGTTCCAAAAGTTAATATTAAAATTCTAATTTTATATAATGTAAATATAATTTTAATTTTAATGTTACAAGTGGTAAAAAACTATTTTTATTACTCAAACAGAAGCGTCGTCAGTAAGGTGCTTTGGATGCTAAAGAATCCCTTTTTTCAAAGTATTTAAATTAATACATTCAACACCCTATCACTCCAAAACGAAAATGTTAGCTGAAAAACATTAAGAATGCTTAGAGTCGATATTTTGCCACTAGATAAGATACTAAGGAGCTAAAGAAAGTTACAGGCGAAGCTATGGTACAGAATAGGCGTGCACCAACGACCTGATATATTATTGGGGCAAAATCTAAAAACTGGATTACATTGGTTACATGCAAATTCTAAGGATGAGATGGAACGAACAAATATACGAAGGCAGGTCACGATGAACATACTCAAATGAGGGAATTCGAGATTTAATTCAAGGTGAAGAGAAGGAATTATAAAATCCAGAACTGGTAGGTATTCATAATCGGTAGAAGGTTGGGATAGTACGATACAAATGCATGCGGTTCAACAGCGAAAAAGGATACAGCAAAATAAATGGAGAAGGCAGGGAGATGAGAAGAAAGTATGGAGTAGGAAATAAATGCAAATTCGGAAAATGTGGAAGGACAACCTATAGAGGGAGAAATCGGCGAAACGGAAAAGACTTATAAAAATTCGGGTCGATTTAAGTCAATACCTCCCATGGAATCAATAAGGCAGAAATCCAATATCAAGGTAGTCTACATATCGTCTTATTGAGAAGATTTAAAATCTTAAGTGCAGAGAAATATGATAAATACTATATAAGATTATATTTCTTATTATATTACAGTTAACATGTATTATTATATATGATTGTTATATTTTTCATTATTTTGCATATATAAAGTGAATTGGTTTCAACGATGACACCCATTTAGGAGATGACTACCTAAAAAAAATAATAAAGCCCCTTATTTTATTATTTAAAAAAATAAAATTTGGTGACAGTTTAATGAGAAATTTAGTAATAGTATTCGTTTTAGAAAATATTAATTGATTTTGTTTCCTTCCAATTAATATCGAGGAATTAAATTTGTTTTGAAAAATCAGAATTAGCTCCTATCATCGAATCTATGATCGAAAGTGGGCTTTTCAATTGACAAAATATCAAATTACCTCTTGATTTATCATTATCAATATATATTTTTTTCAACAATTTCCTGAAGCTTTGACTTTTTACTTGGTAATCGATTTTTTAGTGTCATAGCCTCAGAGGTTGTTTTGGGGTCTGTGCCCCTCTCATACAAAAGAAATTCAGATGAACATGTTTAAAATGTTATAATTATTTTTAATTAAAATAAGCACTTCAACAAAACAAAATTTTTAATATAAAATTACTAAATAATTATACTTCTACTGATCATCAATTTTTCTATACCGAAATTATATGTTGTTACCTTTTGTCTGTTAAAAAAATATTATTAAAATTATCACGAATTAGTGCGACATTTGCATTCGTGTAATCAGTAGAGACTAAGGCCATTCGGCAGGTTTTTTGATATTTAATTTTATATTATTAGATGAAACTAGTCAAACCAATAGATACTCATAGACTACAAAATAAAAAAAACCCCGAGCTTCCTACCTTCTATAGTATGGGCGCTATTTATGATTGAAGTAAAAGTAGTGTATTTCGCTATTTACAACGACCCTGGGTAAGATGCCAAATATCAATTTTAACAGACAAATCAGAATTTTTATTATTATAATCAACACATTTTGTTTACAAAATTATAAATATTTTTTTAAAAAGGATTAATCTTCACAATATAGGCACGCATAAAATGGATCATTCCTACAGCAACTTGAATGTGCCCAATCGGTATATTTGGTTTGCTTTATCCAGTCTTCGCATTTACTTTTCCTGCACATTATTCAATTTTTTTAATTTTATTACAATCATTTTTAGATTTTATTAATTTTTTCCTATGCATTTTAATACTCTTTATTTGCCATTTTACCTCCTAGCACTTACCGGGGCTAGTGTGTTAACTTAAATGGTCTAGAAATATTGTCGGATAAGCAAGAAAACCGGGATTAAATTTAAAAGGTAGTCTGGACATTGAGGAATATGACATTTAAATTTCATTTAATCTGAGATAATACTTTAGACTTAGCAAAAAATATATGTTGTTACAAAAAGGCTAAAAAAAATTGTTTTTGATCAATATCTTTTGAATACAGAGAGCTCTTACTACTGAATGAACTTAAGGTAGATAGTAATAAATAGAAATACATCTTTCGATCAAATTTGAAACAAAGCTCTAAAAATGAAAAAGTTCGTTCTCCCCTAATAAATGATTTACTATGTAGTTAGCCGAACAATTTTAAAAGTGCATTAATTATTATATGGTTAGCCATGCGATATTTCCTAGCCGTGCGACTTTTTCAGACATATATTTAGTAATAAATTTTATTATGTAGTCAGTTGTGTCAGAAAAACTTCTAGTTTTCTTTTAAAGCTACGTAAACCGATATCATTATGAAAATGGGTATTGTTTATTATAAATCTGTTAGTAATGCCAGATATAAATAAGATCATAAAATTTGAGAACATCAACCTGACGTATGACCATGAAATTCTTAAAAACAATTTAGAAGTTCAGCAATAGTTTTTAAAAAAAATCCACTCTATACAAAAATATTCTATAAAATGATAAACAGCGAATGAGATAACTGCTAGTTTTACTGACCAGCAAATGAGGACCGAAAATAATAGAATTAGGTAATCCCGCGCGCATGGAGAAAATATTTAAAAAAAATAAGTTACTAATAAAATAATAAAAAAAAGATTAAATAGAAATTCAATTTTGAAATTTACAAGTACCAGCTTGGAACTTCATAAAAATGCGTTTAAAGTTATATTTTTCGATTAAAAATTTGGGCCTAAATTAAAAATTCGGGATTATTACTACGTTAAGTAGAAACTTCAATATTTTTTTTTTCACTAAAAATATTTTTAAGAAAAAAAAACTTTTAATAGAGTTTTATCAAAATCTTATATCTGAAATTTAAGAAAATAATATCGTATTATTTAAATAAAATTTCGGCTCATGTGTTTTTTTTTATCTAAAACGATTAGTGTTGTTAAACGGCTATATTTAGCCGAAACTCAAGATTAGCATGGATTCACAAAGAGGGCAGTAAGGTTTGGATATCCATTGACAAAATTAAGGCTTAGATAATAATATTTTGGCTAAAACCTTAATTAAGCCATTTTTTTAAATCGGCGAAATCTAGCCATTTAACAATACTATGGAGTCATATATTTATTACATGGCATAATTATAATAGTAAATGATCGAATATAATACAGATGTATACGATTGTTTGCATTCCCCTTTTTTAAAAAAAAATATTTCTTAGCGCTAATGAATTCCATCTTGATCCGAAGTCTGAATATTTTCAACAATTTATATTTAGAATTCTATCATCATCTGAGATACACGAGTACTATAAAAATGAGTATACTCGTAACAATCATTCCCCCGTAAAGGATAAACTTATCTTGAGAAGTCCGCCTTTCCACTATCTTCATGACGGAATTACTCAAACCCAGGGCACTCGAGATGAGACCTAGTCTCTTGGCCGTCAGCCCCAGTCGTTCTCTTTGACCTCTAAGCCCGTCCATTACGTGCTTACCTGCCTCAAGAAGAGTGTCCACCCCACTCCCGGCTTGTCTGAGCTTGCTTTTCTCGTTCCCAAAATACTCGTTTTCGCCGGCAATGTCGATTGTTGAGCTAGAGGAAGGGGAGTTGGGAGCGAATCGCGTGGATAGAAGTGCTTGGCGTTCCTTCGAAGCTCTTAATTTAGATTCCCGTTTTGCATTTATGTGGTCGAGGCTGGCTCGAAGATGTCTGGCGTCGTACTTTATTTGCTCGAGTCTTAATCTCAAAGTAGCTTTTCCCGTTTGGGTTGCATTGATTTCCTTGAATAGTCGGGTTTCAATTTCGCGGGCCAAACCGTCGATTTCAGAGAAGCCCTTGGTCAGGTAAGTCAATAATTCGGTAAATGGGTCTTGATTGCTATCTTGGGATTTCGATGAATCGCTATCATGGTTTATGAGAGATTCCAAAGTTGTAAGCCGGTATTGAATATCTCGCAGGTGGAATTCGGCACTAGTCATTAATTTTTCCATGAGTACTTATAATTTTGATGCTAGATGTATTTCCTAGTAAAAAAGAGAGAATCATAGTGCTTACAGATTTATGCCTTTTTATTTCAAATAAAAATTGGTAAAAGTTTTTTTTTTGGGTTAAAAAAAAATACAAAGTAGTTTGTGTTTTTCCATTTTTTTTCCATAGAAAATGTCAATTCAATTTAATCAAAGCGATTAGGAAAAACATAAAGCTAAAGGCTTCTTCTCCTTTGTAGCATTTTGATGGTTAATTTTATTAAATCTTATATATATTATATATAAAGTTGCATCCTAAATTCGATCCGCCCATTTTAAAAGTTTAAGTAAATATTATGTTAAAGTTTTAAAACTTTCAGAAAATCTTTAAAAAAAAATAAACATTAAGTTTTTTTATTTTTCTATAAAAAAATGTGCATATATTTCTGTATTTTTAAGGATTTTGAAATTTGTGATTTTATCTTAATGCTTTGGTTATCGCTTAAGGAAGTCTTGATGATTTTGTTAATTCCAGGCATCGATAACTAGGAGTTTGGGATTCTGAAGCACCATATTCAAAAAAAAAATTAGAAATTATTTAGAATTATTATTTAATTCAGTAATTTCAATAACAATTTGGGGGATAATTTGACTTTTCTTGTGGCGTGTCTAATCATTTTATAATAATTCTCCTTTTTGCCAGCATAATAAAAACAAAATGCAGAAAAATCAAAGCATGTAAGGATACTTGTGGGATTTACCCACGAATTTTATTGGAGGTCATTGGATACATTTATTGCACGATTTTGGCTGTTATATATATTTTGAATAATTTTAGTTTCACTTTTTTTCAGAGTTTGAAATCTTATAAAAAAATTGAGAACATTTAATTATTTTGTATGAAAATTATAAGATATACTTATAAAAAAATTGCCATTTTTAGATAAGATTTGATTAATGAATTATAGGATATTGCCATACTCTTAAATTGAGAATAAAAATATTTGATATTTTTCATTTTCAACAATTTTATATAGAGGAATTAGTATCCGATCTCTCATACCTTCAATAAATCCTATAAGCAATTTATTTGTCATTATTTGAAAAATTTTTATTCTTTTTCTTTATAAATATCAGTAAAATGGGAGAAATCGAAATCTAAGAACTCTAACAAATTTAAAAATTTTCAGGAAATGATTCCCAAACATGCCTAATATAGGTGGAGGTAATTTGCATATTATATTGTTCCAATATTGTGGCTCGTTGATGTAATAGTGATTGGATCCCGAACAAGAAATATGTCAAATCTATAGACCAAAATTCATTTTTCAAATTTTTGGAACCAGTCACTTTAAAAAATAATGATATTCAGAAAGGGAGCCTTCTTTAGTTTAGTTTACATATTCTGGTTTAATTACATTTTTTTAAAATTAACATGAACTAAATTTTTAATATGCCAAAAAATTTCACTATTGGGCAAGTTTCCAATAAACTTTCAACATTTAATTTAGCCAATTATTGAATCCCTAGTAAGATATCATAAATATGTTATATTTTTGATATAAACTTACAATTAGATAAAAGTTTATCCAGATAATAGTCTCGTCCTTTAAAATTTGTCTAATTGAAGATTGCATTTGTCCTAAGATCAAAAGGCCTAATCTTTTATAGGCAAATTATATACTTTTATATAAATAAATATTGGATATTGTCAATAGCTTATTATTAATAGTTATTGAATAGTATATATTAATGCTTTATTTGAACATAAGCATATAAATAAATATTATTGAATAGTATATATTAATGCTTTATTTGAACATAAGCATATAAATAAATATTATTGAGGTTCTAGTTATTCTGAATAATAAAGAAGTTTTTTTAGTTTGGAGCTCAACTAAACTAAATTTTAGTTCTAAATTAAATTTTAAAATAGGTTTGGTCATTAGATGTTATGTTCTGCCCAATTTAAAATTATCTATTAAGCAATTTTTTAAAAATTAAAGTTTTAGCAATAAACCCTATTAAATTTATTGAACAAAACTTTGAACAATAGTTATACTTTTGTTAAAATCAGGTTTAAAACAAGATAATGCCAAACCTTTTAAATATCACAATTTGCTAGTCTCATAGGTAGTGTTGTTAAACAACTCTATTTGAGCCAATTTTTAAAAACAGCTAACTCAATATTTTCGCCAGAATAATATTGTTTAAGTCTCGAGATTTCACTAATAAATGTCCAAAGCTTTGCGCCACCAATAAGCAAAATCTTGAGACTTGCATAATATTTTTAATAAAATATTGAGTTAGCCGTTTTTAAAAATCGGCTCAAAATGAGCCGTTTAACAACACTACTCATAGGTATAATAGATTTTGTAAAATATTCCATCAAAGAATTAACTTAGTTTATATTATTTATTCATTGATATTTTTTAATAAACAAAATTAAATTATACTTACAAGTATGCTTTTAGTAAAATAAAAATTTCTGCTTGGATTATTTAAAAATAGTGTATGAAAAATATGTAATATCAAGCATTCAACATCTTAAAATACAGGTATAATATTTTTAATAAATGGTTAGATGGGCTAAATTTAAAGGAATGAGCATCATACCATACTAACTACTATAAAAGGTCCACGTCGACTGACATGTATCATTAATAACCATATGGAAATGACATTTTATTTTTGTTCTTCAATTTTTACTATTGTTAATTAAAAATGATGTAATTTAAAAAAATAATTTTGTAGCTGCAATATATCTCACTATGCATTTTGATAATAATATTAATATTAATTAGGTAAAATAGTTTTAATTTAATTAATACAATTTTACTATAAAAGGATTTTAATGAAATCAAAATTAATAATGTAATTGATAACAAATATTTAATTAATTTGTGCAGTCAATTGTGATTAAATGATAAATTTGTATAATACATATTTTTAAGGAAAAAATAATAAGGTAACATTATATAAAAGAAAGCATAGCCACTTTATCACTCGACACTTTATCACACCACACTTTATCGCGCAATTTTATTCATTTATTTATACTTTTTAAAAAATATATAAATTAGTATAATTATTTTAAATAGCAATATATAAAATAAAACTATATGACAATTAAAAAAATTATGAGTAATTAAAAAAATTAAATATTAATAAAATAATATAAATATAAAAAAATATAAATTAAAATAATAGAGATATATAAACAACAAAGGTCAGGTATACATCGAAGTTGACAATAAAAATTTTCTTCTTTAATGATTGATAAGCATATATGTTTAAAGGGATAATTTAACAAGCTATTAACATTAGCATTCGAGAATTCATTATCGAAACGAAAATTCTTGCGCATAAAGAAATAAGCCTCTTCAATTACCTTTTCAAATAATTATCATTTCTCGATGATTCAAAAAAATTAGAAATATTTGAGATGCAATGAGCCATTTTTTCATGTTTTATTGCGGATTTTGCATTTATTTCATAATAAAATTTAGTAATATATATCTTATTTTTGTTGTTACACAAATAATTTTAAATATTTGTTTATTCCGAAGGTTCGGCAACCATATTTATGTCTAATAATTATTTAATAAGAAAAATATTCCGTATTTTTTAAGCATTTTTGGTTTGAATTGTGTTCCTAATTGAATTTATAATTTCCCTTTATCAAATATTTCTTAAAATTAAATGAGAAACCTTCTATTATACAATAATGTAATGTATTTTGTATATATAAACTAGGGTAATAAGTTTTACATTTGTATATAAACAGTAATTCTAAAAAATTTTAAATCTTGTTTTTATCAAATTGACACCCCTCAAAAAATTAACATTGGTGCTTTAGCCGCGTAACTGATTACTGAGTAAGCCGAACTAACTTAGTATATAATAGTTAATGTGTTTATTATTCTTGATATAATATGTAACCAACCAATAACTTATATATATTCAGGAACTCGCTAGGTTGTATATAGATTTTTGCGAAGATTTGGAAATAACATTTTTAATATGTGTCGAATGCACTTGTAGCAGTCCATAGACACCGATTTCTAATTCAGAAAGCCTTTATTTAATCGGCAAAATACTGAAATTGAAAATTCCACATTTTTTAAGTTTATATAATGATTTTCTAATAATATTTTCGAAATTATGTTGAATGAAAATTATCTATTTAGAAATAGGGTGTTTGTGAGTTCCTAAGAAGCAAGCATAATTGTATTTGAAAGTTTCTCTGTATTTTTGTCAAAGAAAGGGAAAACCTTTTGGTTTGTTTAAAAATCCTTGATTTTATTGCTTATTAGTTTTAAAATTTATAGGTTTGAGAAGAAAAATTCTCATTTTGTAGATAGATGATGGTGTGAACAAGATAGTTATTTTTAAATATTTTTTTTTATGTTCCTTGATTTGGATGATAATAAAAAATTCGAATTTTTATCTTATTGCAATCAGTAGACAATAAGTAAAATCCCAAAGAAGGGATTTTGGCAGACTCCCAGGAGTTTTCTTCCAATTTGTCAGATCTTAGACTTTCCTCTGATAATATAGAATATTTGAGATGTAGGGGAGACCGGGTTAAAACGATAGGCATTTTGCATATTTACCATAAAATTTTAAACAAGAGTCAAACACAACAATTTACAAATCAATGTATAGCCCCATCCCTCATCTACTAGATAAAAAAAAGTGTAGCCCTCTACCTATAATATTTTAGGAGCTATGATTAGTTATGTCAAACTACAGGGTAAAATGGATAAGCACTGGGATAAAGTGGTTAAAATAATATTTGACATATATTTATTGTTTTATTTAACAAATATTACAAATTTAAGATATATTTATGATTTTTATTTACAAACTAATCAATACAATAAGGACATGTAAAGTAATTATCATAATTAGCACATTTATAATGCGCCCATTCAAGCCACATTGTCAATTCAAATACAAACAATCTAATTTAATTACTTGTTTAGGCGTTAATCCCATAAATGACCTACTTGCTTCTAATATGTAGTCACACAATCTAGATTCTCTTCATTTGTAAATATTTATTTATGATGATCTGAACTTTTAATACCATTTTTATATCTTCTTCTCAACGTTGGATAAGGTATGTTATATTTTTTAGCAGACAAATTCAATGAAGTATTATTTGTTATTTTATATTTTATGGCTTCATCTATTACACTTACATCTCTGAATATGGTTTTTCTTTTATAATTTTTCATTATTTGATTGATACAATAAAAATTATAATAAATGAATGAATGAAAAATTTAATGTGAATAATTATATATTTTAACCGTTTTACCCATAACAGCTTTACCCCAAGGTGACATATATTATAAAAACCGTTATTACGTGACTTCTATTATAGCTATAGATGTTAGATAAATTTTATTTTATAGCTAATACATTAAGGAACAAGAGTTTATATTTTTTGGGTAAAAAAACAGTTTTTTGACAAAATATATAAAACCAGGTAGGTTTTAAAGATGAATATAGGTAAGAAATTAATATAAAAATACATCAACACACCAAATTTAAAATCTTAGTGCTCAAGGGTTAAAAAGTTATTTGCGTTATCATTGTTAACCCATCAATCGCTATACCCCGGTCTCCCCTACGTTGCTTCTAAGCTTCATATTAGATTAAATGAAGTATGAGTTTTAGTCGCCCTTGACTGTGGTATTAGCTCATGCCTCCCTTTAGAGGTGAGTTGTAAGCCCATACATTCCTTTAGAGGGTACAATTGTGTTTAATCTATACAAAAACCTATAGCTACTCAATAGTTTGCCTTATAAGATATTGCAGAGGTTGCGATTAGGAAGGACCTGTAACCATTCATTTAGATAATACATCTATATGAAAGTTTTTTTTTAAGACTTGAAAAAAGTTTTTATGGTGGCGTGTTGCGGAGATAGTTATAATAATTGCACAATCGAATAAATTGTCGATTAGTAATATAAAACCAGTTATGTAGGAGCTACATTAATCTATGGACGATAAAAGATGTTAAGGATGTGAGATGGAGTGGAAAAAGATCCAGAACCAGATTTTGCAGGTATTTAAAATAGGAGTTAAAATCCGCCAATTTAATATTTAAGATGTTTTCTAAAAAACATTTCAATTTTTCAGTAAAGTTGTGTTTTGTTTAAACAGCAGGCGCGTAATCAAGGGTAGGAAAGTAAAAAAATTTTCATCCCATTGCAAATATTACTGTTCTCTTATATATCATCTTAAAGCTAATAAAATTTTTCCCCTACAACCCCCCCCCCCCTTCTCTAATAAATAAAATATATCACTATTAATACTAATTTGAAAGAAAAATAAGTAATATATAAAAGTTAATAATTTTTTACAACGACGACCATAATTAAAAATTATTTTTAGAATATATTATAAAAAAAATGTGAAAAGTCAAAATTATTTCTTTAAAAATATAACATTGCCAAAGTCTTATAAATAGATTCAAAAACCTTCAATAAAATTTATGATGGAAAAACAACTTAACAATGTTTTCTTTCTTTATAGGAAAATCATGGATATGCCTATGCATTACGCTAATTAATAATAAACTTTTGAGAGTATATGTGTTTGCAGAATTTTTAAAGTTAAATTTTCATTTATTAAAAGCTTCAAACATTATAATATTATTAGCTAATGTGGAAACTAATTTGGCATTACTAAGTGAGAGACCCAAAAGAAAGATGTTATTTTTGAAGTTTATATATTAAGAATATCCAGAAGATGGTTTACATAAGGCTTCACCATATAAGCACCATAGATGTAAAGTTGAGTTGAATAGTTTTCATAATTAATATTTTATTCGTATATAATATATATACATGTATTCGATTTTGAAAATGAAAGCTTTAGTAATTCAACCGATAGAATTAAATTTTTATTGTTTTATAGAAAATATAGTTTTAAATTTACTAGGCTACAAAAAAAAAATTATAAAATTTCAAAAAAAAACTAAAAGTTTTACATAACATAAGTTTAAGGGAAGAAATAGCGATTGATAAAAACATAATAAATTAATTTATAATATTATTTTTGTCTCAGCAATAACCGATTGAGTAGCCCCAATTTACCTATATACCAAGAAACCTATGGTGAACCATTTGACCTCAGGTCACCAGGACATTATCTGATGATAGGTTTGCAAGCTCTGTTTTGCATTACTTTTTACAGGGCGACCCTTCTAATCTTAACCCTATCATAAATTCTAGCTTCGCCCAAAAATTGATTTACGAGAAAAAAAACTGCTCCTATCGAAAATTAAACTACCCTGCATTTCCTGGATATTATCCATAATCTCTAAACCTTTTTTATAAGTTGAATCTATGAAAACCATTACACGAAAAAAAAACGTACAAAAGACTTTTAATTATTCTATGATATAAATATTGAGGCATTCTGGAATATATGTTGAGACCTTTTCTCACACCGAATCTCATATAAGTTTTCGTCTGTATGACATAGGTTTTTAAAAAAAAAATTAACAGAGGTTTAAATCCGTCATCATTAGTCTTATAGTTTTTTTAAAGAAATAGCAGTCAACTCCTTTGCTTGAAAAATGGCTTGGTTCGTGGAATCGCTTTGATTGGATAGTTGACTGAATAGTTGACCATTTCACAAATAATTAGTTCCTAAGTCTTCTTAAGATATTCTAAAAATTTCAGTTGGTTATATATTCGAATGCCGACTTTTAATAAATAAAATAAATGATAGAAAAGTTCTAACCAACTTTATCCTTTCTATATTTTTATAATTCGTTTTAATGCTAACTATATAACCGAAAGAGAAAATCTAGGAGTTAAAATTACAAATTTCCTCCTAATATACGGATTAGGAGATAAATACAATAGTGTCCATTTGAGTAAAATGATAAGGTAAGAAGACTTATTGATTGTAATATATAATTGTAAGTGAATTATAAGCCAAACAAATTCGTAAGGGGCTATTCTTTAATTCTTAGAAATATTTGTGAAATAGTGAATAAATAGAGAGTTAAGAAAAAATATCTTTCCATAGTTTTGTCATAATTTCCATAAAAGATTATGATTGTTAGCTAATATTAAAGTTGATAACTATTTATTAATTATATAATAATAATATATTGAAATAAAATGAGTTTTTTAATTTCGCAATGTTATTGAATAAACACATGGATGTGTCGAGGAAGAGCGCTTTGAAAAATAGCGAAGTTCAAGAGGAGCCCGAATTTAAAGGATGGCTCATGAAATGCTCTCGATATTTAAAACTTTATAGGAGACGTTGGTTTATAGTGTCGAATGGTTTGTTGACCTATTACGATTCCCACGAACAAATGACGCGGAAATGCAAAGGAGCATTAAGATTGGATGATGCGCAAATAGATTCTGTTAGCAAAGTTAAATTTGTTATTTCTATACCCGGGAGGGCTTCTCTTTACCTCAAAGCGAGCAATGAAAATGAAAAGATAAGATGGATACATGCGATAGAGTTATCCAAACAAAACTCCATGTTTCGAGATCAATTAGGAAACGAAGATTGGAATGTCATCGCTCGAGACAGCCCTTCCATTTACTTGCAAAGGAGGTTGGAGCTCGAAAGTTTGATATCATTATTGAATAGCAAAATAAATGACCTCGATTCTGAGCGAAAAGATTTGGAGAAAAGTCATCAAAGATCTGAAACACTGATGAAAGAACTGGTCAAATATTTTGAACGTCAAAAACTTTCGACAAAACTATTTTTTGACAGCGCCGATGCCATTAATGACTTTAGGATCAAGGCTAAATCTATTATAGAAAATTTTTCGGAATATGCGCAATATGTTAAAGTTCACAATGATAAATGGAGACGCGTTTTGCAGAATGAAAGGGAAACCAGAGTTTACTTAGAGGATATGTTACAACATTTGGCTAAAGATCATATTACGCTAGAGAATCAAGCTAGAAAGTTATCCACGGTCTCGGAGTTTAACGATGCATTCCAAGATGCAAGAGATGCTCTATACGAAGACTTAGTGGTGTATTTGCCTGGAAAATTTCCGTACAAACAATCAATAATGGACGACTCTATGAGATCAACATCAGAGAATTCACAGTTCCTAGAATTGCCAAAGGCTATCGTGCGTACAAAACGGGATAGCAGAAAATCATCCGTTTTTATTGGCCAAGGTCAGATAACAGAATTGGGAAAGAGCGAAAAATCCTTATTAGAAAAAGAAGATTTGTCACAAATATTAACTTCAAAAATTTGCGACATAAAGCCTCGCCCCAAATCAAATATAAGCATATGGAGCATTGTTAAGAACTCGATAGGGAAAGATTTGTCTAAAATACCGATGCCCGTTGCCTTCAATGAACCTATTTCGATGTTGCAAAGAATGACAGAGGATTTAGAGTATTACGATCTTCTAGATCAGGCTGCAAAAAGTAAAGATAGCCAACAAATGGCTTATGTAGCTGCTTTTGTAGCATCAAATTACAGTGCTCCGATAGAACGCACTACGAAACCTTTCAATCCCATGTTAGGGGAGACTTTTGAATTCGACCGTGTTAAATCATTTGGGTGGAAGTCACTGTCCGAACAAGTCAGCCACCACCCTCCTATCACAGCCATTCACGCGGAAGGCTCAAATTGGCAGTTTTGGCAGCAATATACGATGGAAAGCAAATTCAAAGGCAAGGATATCCAAATACTACCATTGGGTATATCTCACTTGAAATTTGCTGATGGAAAACATTACACATGGACCAAAATATACACGACCGTGCACAACATAATAGTGGGGAATTTGTGGATCGAAAATCATGGAGAAATGGACATAATAGAGCACAAAAACAAAATCAGTTGTCATCTCTCTTTTCCCAATTACAGTGTTTTTTCAAACGATAACTTTAAGGTGACAGGTTTGGTGTTGGATAAGGACCAAACAGCTCTCTGGCTTCTCAATGGGAGGTTAGACGAAGATCTCAAGTGCTCTCGTATAAAGGAGATGAAGGACGGCAAAATGGTTTGCGATGATAATTCAATTCAAACCATATGGTCCAGAAAGGACCCCTCCCATATCTTGAAGGATACATATAATTTTTCAGACTTCACCCTGAAATTGAATTCCCCGGAGAGCGATATAGCTCCCACCGATACCCGCTGGCGGAACGACATCAGGTGTCTGGAGCAAGCTAAATTGGAAGAATCCGACAGCATCAAGAATAAATTGGAAGATTGTCAGAGACAACGGCTAAAGGAATACTTCGATTCCGAAAAAGGCAACAAGGTATGGAAACCAACGTGGTTCGAGTTGAGAAGCGATCCAGAGGCAGATTCGCAGTGTTACACATTTACTGGAAAATATTGGCAATATAAGGCTAACAAAGATTGGACCACTTGTCCAATAATATTTCCTGCCAACGTCAATACCGCGTAACCTTTTTAAAGACACCTCCATCCTTTTAATGAATGCATTTTAATATATCAAATAAAGCTATAATGCTTCCAGATTCAACTTTATATTAATTATAAAAGCATATTTTAGTTTATTTTAAAAATAACACTAATATATAAAATAATAGTTGATCGTTAAATCCGCGAATAATAAAGAATATTATTTAAAAAAATCTTTTAAAAAAAAAAGAAGAAAAAGATTATTGTCTAGACTTAGATTAGAGTTTAATTAAAAAGTAATATCATGTTAGGGTTCTAGACCCCCGATTTAGAAAATTTTTAGCATTTTTTGAAACCGTCATTAAATTTTTTTTTATATATTAGCAACCGATATTAGAAAATTGGTCCGAACCCTACCTTGGTCCCAATTTACCCCGGAGTTTAAGTGATATATAGTGCCTATTTAGTCCATTCTCAAAATTTTTTTTAAATAAAATAAATTTCAAAATATTTGAACCGCGTTTTTCGATTGGTTATTATCAAATAAGCCATTTTTTTTTCAAACGAAATAATTTTCAAAACATGCTGCCTTTTCTAAAAGTTAAAAGTTACACACATAAATTATAAATACATATTAAATTATCTAAACTTAAAAAAGCAAAAAAATAAAAATAAAAAGAAGAAGAAAAAAACACAGATTTTTTTTTATTTTTATTGAGGTTTTTTTTTTATATTTTGTTTCGAAATTTTTATTTTAAAATATAATAAATAATCGTTGTATATATTTTTTTTGCGATACGCGAACTAGATTCTAGTTTCGTTTTGTAGGCGATTTTTCGTGCTAATTTAGTGTTGTTAAAAAGTCAGGTTTGGGGCGATTTTTCAAAAAGGGCCCTATTAAATTTTAGCTAAAATAATATTACGTAAGATGTTCCCAAGCATTTCTGCCAACTACGAGAAAAATCTTTAGACCTGCATAATGTTATTTTGGTTATAATCTTAATCGGGACCTTTTAGCAACACTAATATTAACCAAAAAAAAACTATATTTTTATACTGTTAGAATTGGCAGGTTATCAATAAAAATTTTTTTTAAATATAATTCTATACCCCTAACCTATCTCAATTTAAAACACATTATTCCAGCCATCTCAAGTTATACCTTGTTTTAATTTTACATAAAAAAATTTTAAATATATTTTTATCTAATTAAAAAGAATCCCTTCAAATGATGAATATTTCTTGAGTTTAGTATAGCTATATTAAAAAATAAAATCAAGGGTACAAGAGAAAGAAGTTCGTCTTTGCTTCTTTTCTTCCTTTTTTTTAATAACAAAACCATATTTGCACTTTAAAATGGAAATTTGGAGGAGAAAAAAGGGATGAATGGAGAGGGTAAAGATTATCGTGTTCATTTAAAGCACGATAACTTGATTGTATAATTATAAAATAAAGTTGGGTTAAATGTTGTAGAATCATTAAATCTACTAAATATTTAAACTTGTAAAAAAAAAAGAGGAAAAAAAATGATGGGATTTTTGGTTTTTATAGATTAATGAATGTTAGTTCACCAAATATGGATAATTTTTTGTTTTGAAGTGTGTTTCGGAGTGATAATGAAATAATGTACCCAAGTTTTAAGAATGCTTCTATTTTTTTGGAAGAAATAAAAAATTAATAATCATATTATTGATCTCATAAAAACCTCTTTACTTTTTGAACGAAGAAAACGATTAACACAAAACATTTTTTTTTAAAAATAATTGAAATAAGGACAAAAGTTCTTCTTTTGGCCAATAGGTAACAACCTTCAAAAAAAAATATAGGTTTTTTGCTTAGAAAATAGATCTTAGATGATTGAAGCCATGAAAAATCGTTTTTTCAACCCCCGGCTTAACCTACGTTGGTAAAAAATAATTTTAGACCCGGACCCACTATAACTTTACAAATGTAATTATAAAAATATAAACTCGAACATAATCTCTTTTATGGTCTAATTTAGAAGGCTATAAATATTCAGCAGCAATCAAACGAGATTCGTAAAAATAATAATAAAAAATACCTACCGAGAAGGGTTTAACTCTGTTAGCATTTTGATGAAAGAATTGTCTGTGAGTGTAAGGTAATGTTGATGTCATTGGATTTAGATGCAAAAATATGGAAAATGATTAGACTCTATACGATTTTAATTGTTAATATAAATATTTATAATTATCTTGTTCGCTTTTTAATTGCGGCAAAAATTGTTAATATAAATATTTATAAATTATCTTGTTCGAACCGCTGGGAGGGCGATAATATTTAATTGATTATGCTAGCCTCGGACTAGTCTCGCGGAACTAACGATAATGTATTCTTAAATCGAATTGTTGTGTATGCCAAATGAAGCCGATGTTGTCATATTTTGAACTTTCAACGCCAGATGGCAAAAGCGCATTTCGATATTTTAAGACAAGAAACGGGGTAGGTTGGGAAAGGTATAAGCAACAGCTTTTGATCGATTATAGATTATAATAAAAAAATTTATATTAATAATATGATATCCTTTCTCTATACGATAAAGGGAATAAAAATCTAAAATTATTCGATCTATAAAATTTATGATAAAATATTTATTCTATAAAAATTTATATGGTCTGACATGCTTCGAGCACTCATTCCTGATAAAAGATGATAAAAGTCCTAAAAGTTAATCTTGTGATATAAAACTCACATGTCTGATATAATAAAGTTTAAACTTGATTTGATAATAGTGTTGTTGAAAGTTACTTTTGAAGTGTAGTTAGTTTTATAGTTATCATTATTATATCCTAAATTAGGTAACAGTTTGGAGGATGCCCATGTTTATTCCTATAATTAAGGTTAACATATTTGAGTTGGGATATCTCAATTTTACACTTACAAAGTGTAAATTTTATACTCTTCGTTTTCTTTATTGGTGTAAAAAAGACTTTACTCATCTTCTTCTCAAGAAAATGTACAAAATTGACATAAAATTCTTAATAAAATAAATTATAATATTAATAAGAATTTAAATTTACAAACATTTATCGCTTCAAATATTAATGAGATTAACAAACATGACTGAAAATTTAAAATAAAAATGAAGGAATTTGGTGGTTGATGTGAATTAAAAACTCGGCTTAAATTATTTATAAATTTTAAAAAATAAATAAAAGTAATTTTATAATACAATAAAATATGTTTATTCCATATTTTTTATAAAAAAAAATTTGAAGTAACGAGTAACGTTTTGAGTTACCATTATTCAAAAATAGTTATAGTTACTCGCTACCTCTAGAAGAAAGTAACGAATGGGGTTTCTTTTCTTCTAAAAAGGTAGCGCTCTAAGTAACGACGTTACTTGTTTACCTTACTTTTAATATAACTAGTTAGTTATTTTTCGGCTAGTATGTATTTAGTTGGTCTACAGATGATAAATTTGGTTAAATTTAGTGTTAAAAACATTTTTTTTTTCAGTGTAAGTTATAATGAATTGACCGACGTTAGGAAAATATTTTTTCCTTTAGATGTATATACTATAGTTATTTATGTTCGGATTAAATTTCAGACTTTATGCAAGATTTATTATAAAATAAATTTAGCTGGAGACCCTTTGACCGAGGTACCCCGGGCGAAATTGACATGGATAGAAATATTTTCTTTAATCATAATTAATTATAATTATAACCGATATAATGCTATTATATAAATAATATAGGGGTGATAAGGTTTAAAAATTATGGAAGCTATATTTCTATTTGTCTATGACATTGAAATCGATCTATACAGATAAGATACTTGCACGAAGCATCCTACTTTTAAATCAGAAATCTTGGTGAGAAAAAAACAATTTATTTTGGCATAAAGAAAGAAAAGAAATAAAGAAAGAAAGAAAGAAAGAAAGAAAGAAAGAAAGAAAGAAAGAAAGAAAGAAAGAAAGAAAGAACAGAAAGAAAGAAAGAAAGAAAGAAAGAAAGAAAGAAAGAAAGAAAGAAAGAAAGAAAGAAAGAAAGAAAGAAAGAAAGAAAGAAAGAAAGAAAGAAAGAAAGAAAGAAAGAAAGAACAATAACTTATTTTACTGGCATCAAAAATGTTTAACATTATAAAATAATAGGCATTTGAGACGGATTTTAAATTTGGATCGTATTCATAAGAGCTAATTTTTTTTATTATATTCGGTTTGAATGATAGATATTTTAGTATTTATCTTTGAGTCAGAAATCAGATGCCAAAAATAACAGAATTCACCGTTGAACGTCTTTCATACACAACATTGAAAAGGATCTAAACAAATCTAACAGATATTCTAATTGAGTTATACCATTTAAACCAAAATTCAAATCGGAATTCTCAATGAGGGTTTTATTTTTTTTATTTCCCCACTTTTACCCCTAATAATTTTTATTTCTACATTTTTTTTAAATTGGTGTATTTCTAAAATGATTTCGCTTTTCATTTTAGGAGGGCATTGTATGAATCTGTTTAGCTTAAATTTTTCAAAATTTTATTTTATTACTTAACACGGAGTTTATCATTAATCAGCCCTTGGAAAGGGTTAATTCTGTGAACCGCTACCCATATATAAAGTTAATAAAAATTAAAATTAAAATCAATTGTATATAAATATTTTTATTTTTAAAAGCCAATTTTAATTTTTTTTTAAAAAAAATTATAAAAGAAATTATTAAATTGATTGACATTCTCATAAATTTGTGGTTTCTGAGTTTTATGTTGTATCATAAGGCATTCATGATTTTTATATGATTAGGGAGGGGGTGGCATAAATTGACCTTATGTGATATTTGCATAAAAATAATTTTGGGATTTTAATTTCAAATATAAATATAATTTTGAATTATAGCGGTTATTTTAAAAAAATTTATTAACTTATAACTAACTTTAGTCCAATCCCAGCCCGAAATTAGTTAATCGAAAAATATATTTAAAAAAAATTATCTCCAAATCGTATTTAAATTAAATGTTAGTTTTTTTTTTTGATTTATACCTTTTATTTAAATATTTTTTTCTTTCTTCTTTTAAAAAATAGGCATAATTTTATATTTGGAAGAATAATTGTGAGATATAATATAAACAGATAAATCTAATCTTATTATTTGTAGCTTTTTTTTTTTAAAAAAAAAAATAATAAATCAAAATTATGTATAACAATAACAATTTACAAGTTTAATTTATTTATACATTTGATGTTAATGTGTTAAAACTTTAAAAGAATTTTTTACCGACAAAAATATATTAAAAAGATCTAAATCCAATCCTAAAAATCCGAAAAAAAAATGTAAACGCAATTATAAAATTTTGGTGTTGCCAAGGTCCGAATCCATAAGGATGGTAATCTCAAATTCGAGATCCGGCTGTGCCTATTCGATATTTGTCAGAATGGGGACACGATGGAGTTAAAACAAATTTTATACCTCTATCTCCTTCTCCTATTTATTTTATATATATATATTTTTCAAGATATTCCGTTTTGTATTTTTGAGCCCAAAGAAGCTACCCTGTTGAATAGAATCTTACTTTTCAATTAAATATAATAAATAATAACTATTAATACGAGAATTAATTTATATGTTTATTTCGTATAATGATCTTAAATTTTGAAATTTAATTATGAAATAGTTTCTTAATATAATTGTATTATATTATAGTTCGTTTATAAAACATTTTTAGCCTTTTACTTTTCAAGTTAGAAATATTTATGATGAAGAGGACGAATATTTCTATAAAATACCGATTTTCCTGGTGGAGTGTAACTGACCCACTTTACAGGGAGGTACTCAGGCTGGCACCTTACATTATAATCACTTATTTTCATCCAATAATTGAGTATAACGCGTGCTTTGCAATATTATCATTTTTTGCCATTGTATACTTTCATTTGTTTAGAAAGTCAATGAATGATAGACGAAAACATAATTCAGTTTTTTAAGGGCATATGAAAAATAAATAGCCCAAAATTGATCTTTTATTTATATTAAAATTTAAAAAATCAAAAATCTTCGTATATTATAATATAGCATTATTTTGTATATTTATATTTATTTACAAATATTTCAATAAAGATAACCAAAATGTTTTTGACGTGCCTACCTATTTGTTTTATTTCAAAAAAAATTCTAGATTGCCCCTCCCAAATAAACAGTTGACACCTCCACCCCCTCCTCTTCCCAACTGGAAATTCCTGGTTACGGGCCTGTATAGAAGAAGCAAATACCTAATTTTATTTGGTGGCAAAACACAAGTATAACTAAGGCTATCAGATAAACCTTTTAACTTTATATGAAAACATGCTTTGATAGCCTTATCCATAAAATCTATATATACTCACTCTCGGGAAAAATATTTTATTTTAAGTTTTATTAAAATTTTGGGGATTTAAATGCTAAAAATAAATGGTGGCTAATTAAATAGAAAATTTAGGCATACAGAGACAATATGCCAAAAATTATATGGTGTGCCGAACTAGTGTTGTTAAAGGGCTGCCGATTTTTAAAAAAAGGCTAACTCAGTATTTTATCCAGAAAATTATTACGCAAGGCCTGAAAATTTTGATCATAGATGGCACAAAGGTTTTGAAATCTATTCGCAAAATCTCGAGGCTTATAGTGCGTACAAATTGAACGTTTCAACGCAGCGTTTTAAAACGCATATCAATAATTTAAAATACAAAACGCAAACGTACTCAAATTAAACGAATGCAATTAAAATGCATTATTTGCGTTTTGAAGCGCTGCTTTGAAATGTTCAATTGCACTATTAGGCAATATTTATCTGTTTAAAAATATTGAGTTAGACGTTTTTAAAAATCGGCTAAAATCGAGCCATTTAACAACACTACGCCGAACACGCCTTAGCATTTACTCTCAAAGACGATACTGGTTTTTTTCTTCAATCATATATTGCATTTTATGTCCATCATAAAGTTGGAATATAAAACTTTACGCTACAATTTTATGTATTTATAAGCATATTGTATAAATTCGTCTTCAAAGAAGTAACGAGAAAGCAAAGTTATTCAAGAATTCTATAATAATTTAAATATATATATATGAAATATAAATTATTTTCTAAGTTTTTTTTTTCAAAATCAAAAATATGTTAAGAACAAATTTATTTGAAAATATTTTTTCTTCCCATTATACGCTTTGAAAAGAAAAGAGACGGAAACCTAATAATCTTGGCGCTTTATAAATGACGACATTTATAATGGAAAAATATGGTATATAATGATAGTTCCGCTATTTTGTTTTGAAAAGTGGCAAATAGAAATAATGGTAAGAAATCGCTCTATTTCATGGTAGCCTCACTAGGGGATGGGAGCTAAAACTCCCTCAAAAAAAAATTATGAGAATCCCTTAGATTGTAAAGGCTAGTGACGGCGTTTGCTGAATATTATTACGAAAATTATAATATGACTAATAAATTTATGTGAAATTTAACGACACATGGAATTCACATTTCAAAAATAAATTCCCCTCCCACCCCTCTTTGATTAAGGGGAGTAACATAAGATATTTATTAATAAATCATTCGTTGGTTTTTAATACAGTGTTGTGCAGGGATTTAATTCGAAACATTTCCGTATTTTTTTTTAATTCGATTTGTAAATGAAATTATTTAACTTGTAAAAATTGATAAGAATATCTCCTAAATATGTTAATTTTAACAATTTTTTTTGCATGTAAAATTAAAAAAATAGGGAAATATTTTTCCATCAAATCTGCTCAACACTGTAAAATAAAATATTTGATAGGTAAAATGTCATGTCATAATATACGTTTTATTTTTATTATTAATATTATAATATGGCGATTGTAAATATGCAACAAAAAAAAACAACGATTTGATTGTCTTTATTTGTCTTTGGTAATGATATTAGAAGCCGATGATTTATGAGTTGTAGACGATCGAGATTTCTGATTTTTATGAGTCCGTTTGCGTCGAGTTTTAGCTTCCTTGTTTGAAAATTTGGTATTGGTATTAGCTTTACAAGGATCTAGGCACGAATCCCTATGGGATCCCTGGTGTTTAAAACTGTAGGCAGACCTGCATTTTCCGTCGTAAGAATGGGCATTATCGCCATAGTGGTTATCTACGCTTGTTGTCATCAGTATAGATCTGAGACTGGCTATGTACGATATGGCGGTCCTTAGGGTCTTTATTTTGGATAGCCTGCGAGGGTAACCGTGGTAATTTTGAGGCAGCACTTTCCGCAAATCTTCTAGGGCTATGTTGAGTTTATGCATGCGTCGGCGTTCTTGTCCGTTGGCTATGAGTCTCTTGTAACAAAGTTCGTCGTCGTAAAATAAGTTATTCGGAATTGGATAATCGGGATTGTCATCCGCGAAGACCTCCTTCATGTCGTACATTCGAGTCATCGAATTGTATTTATTGTCATTTTCGAATGTCAATAATTTATCGCGAGCGATTTCCGGAAGCGTATAATTTGTTTTATCGTAGCCGTGAATGTCGTTTTCGCGTTCGTGTTGACCCTTAAAATATGCTAGCGAGATATCGGAATCGAGAATGCCCCTTTTTTCGTCATCATCTTCGAGGTATGGAACTGCTTCAGACGCGTCATAATCCAGATTTTTAACTAACGATTTAACAGATTTTTTGGATTTATGAATAGCTTTAAACTCCTTATCGTCCTGGTTACGTATTTTGCTGATTTTGCCGATGTTTCTATCAACTTGAACGCCCACGGAGTCTAAAATATCCAGGAAGGTTTTTTGGACATTGATATCCATCATGTACTCGGATTGGCCTTCATCGGCCTCTACTGAAACATAATGCCCTTCCATTGATAAAATGCCCTTTTTGTCCTCTGGACAAGTTTGATAGATGTGCTGAGAACTAAAATCGTACAATTTTTTCAACGAGGACTCGTTGTTATTTATCGCGGTATTATTGCATTCGTAAATGGAACAATCATCGCGGAAGACGGTGGCCATTTTGAGGCAAGAAATGGCGGAACAGGTAATATTTTCTCCTCCTGAATCTTGGCAGGACATATGATGGATTTGAACCGGAAAGAAAAAAAAATTAGTTTTCTTTTTATAATTTTAAAATATATTTTTTTTCAAAAAAAGAAAACTTTGTTTCAAAAATATAAAAACTTTTATAAAATATATATTATTTTTAGATTTTTTTTAAAAAAATTTTATTTTTTTTTATAATAAAAAAAAATAAAAATGTTATCTAAAATTAATTTAAATAATTTTATTATATATAAAAGTATTAATACAAAGTTACTATATTTTTATAATTTTAAAAATTTTTATGTAAATATTTTATTTTATTTTATAAAAAAAACAAAATAACGTTAAATAAAATAAAATAAGGAATTATATTGAAAATGATTGTAAATTGCGCGGCATAGGAATGGCATTCTTGTTTGTAATATTAATATAAATCTTTTTTTTAAATTGTATACCATTCCACTAATTAATTTCGTTGTTGGTGGTTAATTGCTTCTTCTTATTTTTTGAATAAAAAAAAAATTCAAAAATAAAAAATTTTAATTTCTCATGAAAGGTTTTTCTAATAAATTGGATATAATAATATGATTTATTAAATTAAAATAATATATTATTATATTAAAAGTATATAAAAATTTTTGATAATAGGCTAAAAATTGTTTGATTTATAATGATTTAACTTATATAATCAATTCGATCTATGACCCCCTTTAAATGCTACGTTGTCCCGAAGTCTAAAAAAAGTCTTTTGATTCAATTTTGCGAAGAATATTATCATCTTTTTCGAATTACAGCTGTTAGAAATTTTATTTCTTATTTTTTTTTTTGGTCTTTTAAAAAATTATGTTATTTTTTCTTACGGTAAAAACGTTTGATAAAAAAAAATAATAAAACAATGTTTTTCCCCTCGTTAATAACATAAGAAACAAGTCACATCACAATCTCGTATTTATTTTGATTCTACCAAAAAAAAAAAATTAAAAATATTATTTAAGGAAAATGATTTTTCTTTCGATTCTCAGTTAACTTTTGAACTGTTTATTCCAATAGTCCATCCAGTATTTCATTTTGATATCTGTCCAAAAAAGTCTTTGAGCTTATCCCCCCATCCAGAGCCTCAAAGAGGGCCGGTATAACTAGGGAAAGTGATCTATGAGATTTCGAAATCTCACAACCAAATCCCACTGATGAATTGTGAGATTTTTTTGATATAAATGGCTCCCATTGAAAACGATAAATCCAAAGTAAAAATTTTTATGACATGAATTTAAAATTATTTAATAATATAATATAGAGACGATTATGGTATGAAACCTAACTGTTTTTTAATTATAATCTGTTGGAATAATATTATTATAATGCTTCCCTAGGTATATTATTGTTTCATTTTTTTTTAAAGATTGCTTCTGGCTAATCAAAGTCCTTTCCTAAATCAATATCGGAGGTTTTTTTGTGGGTTTCCAACAAATTTAGTCTTTTCATTTAAAACTAACTGATTAAAATAAAATTTTGATAGTTAAATAAATTCAATAATATAAACTTAAATTTGGTTCTTGCCCACAATTTGATTTCACTAAATGTATTTATCTGAACATTTTTTTAACCCTTTTCGTCAAATGATTTTAGTAGTTATAATAAGATTCCTAAATCTATATAGACATGATTAAATGAACGAGTGGTTAGATGGATGTGGAAAATAAAGATGGTGCACCAATGTGTAACAATATTGGCAAGAATAAAAAAAGATTTGAATGATTTGTTAAATCGAAAATCTAAACAATTATTTATCGCAACATTTGCATTTTTTTTATACTACGGAACACATCTCATTCCTAAATCGGTCTCATTGGTCTTGACGGGTATGACTAGGTCTAACGCCACTTTGTAATTATTAATTATTATGAGACTAAACATGTAGCGCGTCAATTTATACCACTAAAAAAAACGTTTTTTTTCTATTGGAATTGCTTGCTTAAAAATGAGAACCAATGAAAATAAGGATATTTTAGATGTGACAGATATAATGCCTTTCTTAAAATTTCGAAATTATATTACGAAATTAGTTGATAGCGAAATAAATAAAGTCAATTAAAACCTTTTTTTTAAAAAGAAATTATAATAATAATAACGTGATGTTGTTCATGTGATTTGAAAATGACAAACAATTGAATTTTAATAACTCTGGAATCTTCTTGTTAAAGCTAATGCCTCATATTCCGTGCTTAAATATAAAATAAAATTTTTTTGAATATATAAAATCGTTGTGGGGTTTGCTGGACTGGGTTAAGTTAAACATTTTTTTCCCCTTCCATTATTTCTATACTTCAAAAAGTATCAGTTTTTCTATAATCAACAACAGAAAAACAATATTTTTAACATCTAAATTTTTCGCGAATGAATAGGAATATGAAAAATATTCAACGTGAGATTATATTATCGTAAAATAATACCAAATTCTTTTAGGAAAAAAAAACAAACTTTCGGCTTTAAGTAAAAGAATTATATATATATATAAAATGTAATTATCCTATCATTATGAGAAATATATTAAATACTAGCTGGTTTATGAATATTTTTTTTAATGAAGCCGATTTAAATATCGTTGTTAATTATGTTACATCACAAAAATAACATTATCGATAAATGATTCAACATAAAATTTTATCAAAAGATTTTTTTTTGAAATTTATCTATTAAAGTCAGGATGACAAAAAAATGCAATAGAATTCTCAAATTATCGTCCAAATATTTAATAAATTTTACTTAACTTAGGAAAAGAGAAAAATATTTAAAAAATATCCACGGAAGAAAGATATCTTACAAATATTATCCAAATTTGATAAGGGCAAAAATATCTAAAACAGGATCCCAGAAAAAGATATCCACGAAAACAAAAAACATCAACTCAAAATTACCCAAATTTGATAAAGGGGGAGAATTTTTTTAGCAAGGAATGGTAACGTTTACTTTCTTTCAATTTTTAGGTTACTCTTATAATTTTTTAAAAAATACGTGAAAAAATTGTAACAGTAGATTTCACCTAAATAATGAAAGCAAGGACTGATGTGGGTTAAACTTATTGAAGTGGGGGAGTGGGGGTAGTCGTTAAACTCTTGACCAAAGTTTAGATAGAATCTAAACATAAGGTGCAAACAGAATATACCACCAAACTTAATAATTTATATGCTGTTAAAATTTTAATATCGAATCCAATATACTATTTTTCTTTAAATCTATTTGAGTGAAAAAAAAATAATTTTCAATCTACAAGCCCGGAAATCCTATATTCCAGATGTTGAATAGTGATTGTCGTAACAGATCATTTATTTAGTCTTATTAGCAGAGTTTAACAAACAATCTTCAAAGATTTTAAAGATTTTTTTTTGAGTAAGCTTAAAACAGGAATTTTGATGAAACCAAGCCTATTTTATGCAAAAAAAAATATATGTAGGATAATAAATTATTTTTACTTCTATATTTTAAGGTTAAGGTACAATGTATATTAAATCCAATATTTTACAATTTTTATATTTTACGATAAAAATGACAAATTATTGGCACATATTTTGAATTAAAAGAAGAAATAATTTTTTAAAATTTAATTTAATTATCGTAAATGCCATTGTTGCTAACCGTATACAATACTTTCTTTTAAAGGAAATGCCTCTTTCCTGTTTGTACCGGAAATAACCTTTAATCGATTAATTCTCTTGCGTCCATTTTAACATTTTTTTTAAAAAAGTTGGTTGTTAAACGATGCAGATATAATTCCTAAAAAAAAAATCTATATTCGATAATAGGGGAGTCTTGGGATGTATTAAGCAGAAAGGTTAAAGCGAGACTTTGCCTCTTCCCTAAAATATCAAATTTTTAAGGGGCTAATATTTTTTTACCCAAAAAATATAATTATATAAGGCATATGCGGCTATAAAATTTTTTATCGGTTATATAACACATAGAATCTTTATAATGCTTTATATGATTTATAAACCTGCAAAAGTACTTTTTATGACTTTATGATTTATCATCTTTACCTCCCAAATCCTGTATTGGTTTTCCTGAACAAAAATTGACATTAAAAATACTTTTATTTCTTAAAATAATCCTAATCAAACCTATTCCATATATATATATATAAATACTTTCAAAAAATCTCCATTATTAGGCCTATCATATAAAATATTCCATAATATAATCACATCATCACCATCCATTACCAATTAATGTTCAAAAAATTTTATATATTGGTATTAAACACAATAATAATATATTTATTAATAAACCCGGTGAACTTATTTTTATACTTAGACCTGTTGGCCACCCCGAAAACGCCGCCGATTTTAATTTAGCCAGCGCATGGCCGGCGTAAAAATTTTTTTAAAAATAATTTCCATATTTTATACATATTTATTATAATAAATGGTCAGTTGTAAATTTTTTTTTATGCCAATCATAATCTTATTGAATTCTTATTTTATACCTAATAACATCAGATTTATTTTGACAACATTTTATTTAGAATTCAATCAATCAAAAATTTCCAAAGTTACGATAATTTTACATATTTTTTAAATGGAAACCCATGGAATCTGGTAACCAGTGGAGGGTAATACATATCTTTTGTTGAAAATCTTATCAAAAGAATAAGAGGAATTATTATTGCTCTAAGAAATAAAAACCGCATGGATTAATTTTGAGTTCAAGGCAGATCAAGGAAAAAGCCAAAGTACAATAGATCCAACATCAGATATGCTATAGATATTGATAGCTCAAATCTTTAACCTGATTCACGTTTTCAAATTGACGATTCCGTAGGATGATGAAAAATAACAATAATGCCACACATATGATAACGTTAAAAATAAATGTCCCAACCAGGTGGTATAGTCAATTAATTATGCTAGAAAGAATTCCAGGAACAAAAATTTAATAACTTTTCGAAAAGAATTGGGAAACACTATCCCAGACTATGAATCAGATCTAGTAGAAGAACCAGTTGCTTTTCTTTCAAAATTTAAAGAAACAGTTGAATTCGTATCTGCACAAAAAGGTCTACTATAATATTGGCATCATTTTTTAGAAGTGAAATTGAAGCAAATTTGTTAGTAATAATGATAGCTCAGAAATCATTT